TAGTACAATAGGAATAAGGAAATCAACTCTATTTTTTTTTTTAAAAAAGACACAGATGGAGAGAGAATAAGCAAAAGAGAAAGAGGAGAAAATATAAAATGAGCATTAGCATCTGTGAAAATGATCTTCACCATGTCCCTGGGGTGGAGCTTGCATTCTGATTCCAGTGTGCAGATGAGAAAACTGAGGGCTTGTGTGAGTTCACCTGGAGTCAGTTTCCTGACTCCCCCATTCCATACCTTCCCACCATGTCTATTTAGAATATGTGGGAAATTAGCAGCTGCAATTGGAGTCAGTCTGGCCAGATGTGTTCTTGATATGGGATCCCTGCCACTTTCCCTATTCTGGGTTTAAAATCTCTCTTTCCAGTATTCTTGCTTGGAGAATTCCATGGACAGAGGAGCCTGGGAGGCTACAGTCCACGGGGTTGCAAAAAGTCAGAAACAACTGTGTGACTAACACAACACACTAACCATGGGGTGGGTCACACCATGAAGAATGAATGAGCACTTCCTGTTCAATTAGAGACTGAAGACCACCTGCCTCAGCCATGTAGACAGGATTCCAAGCAGCGAGGTCGTGATTGTACAGCCCCAAAGCCATCCATCAGTCCTGAAGGAACAAAAACCAAGTCATTTGATCCACCATGCTATGTGGAAAAAGCTAACAGGATGCAAAAAGATTACAACTCCACGAAACGCAAGTGGATGCCTAAGGAAAAAAACCAGAAGGAAAACTATCAAAACACGAACAATGGTTGGATTAGGATGGAGTATGATGGTGATTTATTTTCTCTAGTTCCTTATTTTCCAAATGTGTGGTAGGGTGGTGATGTTGGCAAAGGCAGTTTTATCCTTTATGGAAAATCATCTCATCCAACCCTCATCCCAGGGCAAGAAGCCTCCCTGTAACCACTAGACTCTCTTCCAGTCCCCACATTCTGAGAGGCTCACCCAGGCCTGACACTAGGGAGGAGGGAGGAGAGTGGTGCTGATGGAAGCCTGCTGAGTGCCAGACCCTGGGCTGGCCGCCAAGCCAGAGGCATAGCCCCCGCCCTCCAGAAGCCGGGTCTGCCTGGCACATTCTCTCGCTCAGTCTCTGAAATAGCCATGGAGTAGGATCTTGGGTTATTAAAGCAGGAGGTGCCGAGCAGGACTGGGACCCAGGCCTAGGGGTCTCCACTGCATGTTGCCAGAATAAGAATTCAGGGCAAGCAGGCGAGCCCCTCCCATTCCACCCCATAATCTGATGGAAGAAAGGTCAAAGCCCTGACTGCGTTGGCAGCCATGGGATAGGGTCTAACTGCTCAGGTGGTGGAGGGTTTCCATACGTTCAACTATGGGTCTGTGTGTGTGTGTGTCTGTCTGTCTGTCTCTCACACATACACACACATGGCCTGAGCTCAGGTTCAAAGCACTAGTACACTTTCTTTCCCCCAGAAAACTTCCTAATAATTCTGTCCTGAAAAAGCCAGTTCCTTGGTAATGAGCCCAACCTCACTCACATGGATCCCACAGAAGCTCTGCACAGACCCTCCAACTTTCACCCGCTCCTCAAGCCCCTCTTTCCCTCCACTTTAGACAGCCCCTTCCCCTGTCCTCAGCCCCAGCCTCCCAATCCCATCGCCACCACCCAGATCCGCTTCCCCTGCAGAAAGGCCGCCCTGTTGTGGGAACTGGCAGAGTCCATCTCCTCACATAAAGGCTCAGTGAGGCCCGGACACACTGGAATCCAGACAGAATGGAATTTCTCCCTATTTTCTTTACAGCTGAGAAAACACACACAAACACAAGAGCATATTTATTACGATATTTCTATCCCAAAGTTTGTCTTGAAAAAAAAAGAAGACGAAGTAAAATTAATTTCTCTGCCCACAACCCATCCCCCCCACCCACCACCACTACCAATGCTCACTCCCTGCCCTTTTCATTCCCGGCCGAAGCCAGGGAGAAAAACAGAGCAGACTCAAGCCCCACAGAGAACCGCTGCTTCCCGGACAACGTCAGGCTTGTTCAGAAAGTGAGGGAAGAAACACAACTCCGAAAACATACAGAGAACTTCCCAGTGAAGGGTGTTCTGAGGGAAGAAGAACAGGCGGCCTTGTGTCTGCACACGGTTTCCCTGAGGCTCTAGGAAGAGAGGGCCCTGCAAGTCTAACCCCTCCTCACAGAGGAGGAGACACCTGACCCTTTTAGCCTCCGGAGGAATAGTTCTTGGCCGTGAGGGATCACACTGGGCCTGAGGAAAAGGCACCTCACGAGCCAGAACCTGGAGTTCCAGAGATTTTTTTTTTTTTAAGGCAGCTTCTAAGGAGAAAAATCCCTCAGGAGAAGCTAGGAGCTGCTTCTTAAGCCTTCGGAATTTTCCAGATTTCCTACTCATCCTATGCCTCACACCTTCATCTCTGAGTCCCCAGCAGCACCCACACAGACAACCCTTTCATTTCTCAGGTGCCCACTGTATGTGGAATGAATGATGGATAGCTGTGGAAAGATCACTCAAGCAACAAACTAAGGGACTTCCCTGGTGGTCCAGCGGCTAAGACTCTGCACTCCCAATTCAGGGGACCTGGGTTCAATCGCTGGTCAGGGAACTAGATCCCACATGCCGCAAATAAAGATCCTGCAACTGAGACCCAGCACAGCCAAAAAAAAAAAAAAAAACATCTAAAGAGAAAAAAATTTTTTAAAGAATGACAGACTGGGATCACCCATGAGGGTCCCCAGAGTCCTGGCCCTACCCACTCCCTTCCCCACAGTCTAAGGGTGAGAACCTCAGAGCCCCTCATCCTCAAATCCGTCCAGCCACCGCTGATGGTAACTGAGTCAGTAGAGACTCCTACTGGGTCATGACACTGACAGAGGCCAGGTCAGGGACACGGGCTGCAGCCTCACTTGGGCATTGCACTCAGCCTGTGAAAGCTCCCTTCCTGTCTTTAGGGCACGTGTCATGGGGTGCAAGTCACAAGTGTCCGCAGTGTGACTGCATACTCTAGCCAGCGGTGCCCTGGCCACATTTTAGAACCATCTAGGGGGCTTTTAAAATGTCTGAGGACCAGGCTGAAGCCCAGGTGACTTCAGTGTGCAGCCCAAGTTGAGAACCATCCCTCCGGTTAGTCTCTTGTAAGTTCAGATGGGTCTTCTTGAGGTCTGAGTACTCTGGCCCACTCAGTCAGCGTTCCAGTTACACAGGGGGCTCCCTTTATGTTTTGTCATCACAAATTAGTATACTTTGTGGGACAGTTTTCCAACAGAAGACAGTGAGGAAAGTTTGTTTCTCTAATTCATAGGAAGTCATTGTTTGGGCCAACGGGGGTGGCTTCAGGGGTCCTGGGCTGTCATTTCTCTCATGGTGCTAGTGATAAAGAACTCGCCTGCTAATGCAGGAGATGTAAGAGAGGCAGATTCAAGCCCTGGTTAAGAAGACCCCCTTGGGGAGAGAATGGCAACACACAGTATTCTTGCCTGGAGAATCCCATGGACAGAGGAGCCTGGCAGGCTACAGTCCATAGGGTCACAGAGTCAGACATGACTAAATCGACTTAGCACATACCCCACAGAGCAATCTGGGTGAGCATCCTTCCCCTGACTTGAATGAGACCCCTGAATTGTGCCCCAAATCTTGGTACATTCTCTGTCCTCAAACACACAAATTCCTGAATTTGAAGTTGATGGCAGGTTCAGATTTCATCAAGGAGATGGGGTAACTCGTGTCACTTTTCTGGGCCTGGGGAACTGTGTTAGTCAGGGTTCTCCAGAGAAACAGAACTATTTGGTTGTGCATATACATATAGAAAGAGATTTATTCTAAGGAATTAGCTCACATGATTATGATGGTTTTTGGCAAGCTAACAAATTGGCTCAAATGGTAAAGAATCTGCCTGCAATGTAGGAAACCCAGGTTCAACCCCTGGGTCAGGAAGATTCCCCTGGAGGAGGAAATGGCAACCCATTTCAGTATCCTCATCTGGAGAATTCCATGGAGAGAGGAGCCTGGTGGGCTACAGAGCATAAAGTTGCAAAGAGTTGGACACACCTCAGTGACTAACACTTTGACTTGGCAAGCTAGAGAGCCAGGGTGTGAAACCTTGAAACCAAGAAGAACCAATGTTCCAGTTTAAGTCTGAAGGCAGTGTGGTGAACATCGGGCAAGAGACATTATCTCTTATTTAGGGGAGGTTCAGCCATTTGGGGCAATGCAGGCCTTCAGCTGATTAGGTGAGGCCCACCCACACTGGCAGGGCATCTGCTCTGCTTACTCAGTCTGCCGATTTAAATGTTCATCTCCTCCCAAGACACCCTCACAGACACACCCAGAATAACATTTGACCAAATATTTGAGCACCTCATGGACCAGTCAAGTTGACACATAAAATCAACCATCCCAGGGATCCTTTAGGATGAAACTTTACTGGTTAGAAGATGAGAGGTTCCCTAGAAAAAACAGGAGGAGATAAATTTAATTACAGCCTCACACCAGTAATTAAGGAATCCATGAAGGTTTTATGAAGACAGGATTCTTGGAGAAGATATCTCTTAGATCACAATGCAGCCTCCTTATTGTTTTTTTTTCCAATAAAATCTCTTTATTTTTCTTTGCAGCCACATAGGTGAGATAAACAGTAAATCAGTTGAGGATATTTTATAATCCTTAATGTGTGTGTATGTATGTATACACTAAGTCACTCATTCGTGTCCGACTCTTTATAGCTCTTTAGATAAATATCTGTTGTTTTATTTAATCACAAAAGCTATACATGCTTATCATAGACACTTTTATAAAACATGAAAAAAAATCCAAAGTGCAAAATAAAATTATCCATAAAGCCATTGTTCAAGTATAATCATTATCACTTTTTAAAAATTAGCCTCCTTATTTGATGTTATTTCAGATCCATGGATGAGGAGTTTATCACACTTGTCACGTGACACATGACCCTCAAGCTCACTGTATCTGAACCTCCGAATGACATCTCTGTTCCCCTCTCTTCCAGGTGAACTATGACCACTTTACTCTTGGTGTTTGTGACTCTGAGGGTCATCGCAGCAGCCATCTCAGTAGAAGTTTCAGGTGAGGACATCCTCATGCGTGTCTCATTTACCCAGCAGGCACTGAGGCCTGAACTCAGGAGATGGAGACCAAGCCTGGCACTGATGGTCCTGGTGCTTGATCTGGGCCATCACTTTAGAGGCCCCCTCTCTGACTCTCCTACAGCCCCCAAATTCCCTAAAAATGAGGAATTGCAGGGCCAGTGATATGTGTCCACCCCACTCTATGCTCCCTCTGGGTACCCAGGATGCCCAGAATTCCCTGTCCAGCTGGACCCAAGTCATTTTCAGGGCTGCATGGTTTGCTCCTCTGGGTCCATCCTTCCATGAAAGGACCACCCACCACCACCAGTCTGAGCCACCAGAAGGCCAGAGGGAGAGGTGAAGGGGTGGCTGTTCAGACAGAGCTGGGTTGTGAGGGCCTGGATAAATACAGATGCTTCACAGTGCAGAGCCATGAAGGGAAGAAAAGGGGTCCTGATTCTCTCTCCTCCAGCGTGGCCACCACATCCCAATGCAAAACTCTAGGGATCCAAAAATTCTAAATTTGAATCTGGTTTTTTAATTTTGAAAGGTATCATTGTCAAATAAAAAGATAGAACATTTTTTTTAAACAATCTGTTGGCTTGGTTTATAGCTTTTAAACATTTAGACATATGATCCCTGAGTCTCCACCTGTACTCTTGCCCTGAGACCCTTGAGTACCCAGCTGGCTATACTCTGGGGTGATTTGCCCACACAGGCCAAACAACTCTTGAGGGTTGGTTGAGAGCTTTAAAAACTGCAGAGCTGGGTGCTGCTGTCACTTCCAGTTGTCCCTGGATAACCATGCGTGCGTGATCAGTCACTGTAGTCATGTCTGACTCTTTGTGACCCCATGGACTATAGCCCACCAGGTTCCTCTGTCCCTAGGATTCTCTAGGCAAGAATACTGGAGTGGATTGCCACACCCGCCTTCAGAGGATCTTCCTGACCCAGGGGTTGAACCTGAGTCTCTTATGTCTCCTGCATCAGCAGGTGGGTTCTTTACCACTAGTGCTACCTGGGAAGAACCTGCCCTGGAGAGCTGCCACCACTAAAACCACGCTGTGTGCTGTGCTAGGGTGGAGCCTCAGTGGGATATTTCTGTGAAGGGCCTGCTAGTGATCCCCCAGGATATCAAAAGGTTAGGGCTGGACCCCAAACATTCCTGGCTCCCTTTTTCCTGCCTTGCTATGTATCTGCCACCCACAAATATGTGAAACATTTTTATGGTCAACCTGCAGGCTCTCCTGGAAAAAAAAGTTTGGTAAGTATATGACTGTTCATAAAAGTGCTGTTTTTTCAAAGGCTCTTTCTTTCCAATACCAGGAAGATTTTTGACTTCTAAGAGAATTTGCAAACTCTCTGCATCTTCCCTATCAATACTATCTAGGTTTGTTGTCTTTTTTTTTTTTAATGGAGTCTAATCATATCCCAACCCTACCCCAGACTGACTCTTTGCAGACTTAAATGTCTGATTTTCTCTGATACCTCTCCAACTAGGCCCCTGATCCCCCAACAACAGAAGAGAATGACTAGTCCTTCTGCAAGGTCAGGATGAAGCCCAAAGCAGACCTCCTTAAACGTTTGATATTTTTATATCTTAGCTTTACAAGCTGTATAAATTTTTTTCTTCCCCATAGTAATTTTTTCTTGATGTAAAGTCATGTGCAATTCTTTGCAACCCCATGGACTGCAGCACGCCAGGCTTCTCTGTTCTTCACCATCTCCTGGAGCTCGCTCAGACTCATGTCCATTGAGTCGGTGATGCCATCCAACCATCTCACCCTCTATCATCCCCTTCTCCTCCTGCCTTCAGTCTTTCCCAGCATCAGGGTCTTTTCCAGTGAGTCCGCTCTTCACATCAGGTGGCCGAAGTACTGGAGCTTCTCCCCCAAAGTAACTTTTTACCAATATTTGAGTCAAGCTGTCACTCCAGAAAGATGGGTTCTGTTTATCCCATGGCTTGTCACTCCAGAAGTATGGGTTCTGTTTATCCCATGGCTTGGCATCACCTAGGGTACCCCAGTTTGAGAAACAAAGAGGTACGCCTCTGAATTTCCCGATGGCCCCCTCTGGAACCCTTTCTGGCTCCATAGTTCCCGTCTTGAGACAGAGAGACCAGGGGGTCTTGAAGAAGCTGCTCTGGAAAGGGAATTCCATATGATGCAGGAGGCTTCCCCAGCACCAGCACAGACACTGTCACTTCCAAAAGGACGGACAGAGAGGCTGGGTGGTCCTCTTTGGGCACTAACGGGTCTATCTCCCGCCCCCGTGTCTCCCCGCACAGAACCTGACAACTCGCTGAGTGTCAGCATCCCCGAACCGTCCCCGCTGCGGGTCCTCCTGGGGAGCTCCCTCACCATCCCCTGCTACTTCATCGACCCTATGCACCCCGTGACCACCGCCCCCTCCACCGCCCCCCTCGCCCCGAGAATCAAGTGGAGCCGCATTTCCAAGGAGAAGGAGGTGGTACTGCTGGTGGCCACTGAAGGGCGGGTGCGGGTCAACAGCGCCTACCAAGACAAGGTCACGCTGCCCAACTACCCCGCCATCCCCAGCGACGCCACCCTGGAAATCCAGAACCTGCGCTCCAATGACTCCGGGATCTATCGCTGCGAGGTGATGCATGGCATCGAGGACAGCCAGGCCACCCTGGAGGTCGTGGTGAAAGGTGAGAGCCTGCCCGGGGGGAACCCTGCTTCACCTACAGAAAAAACCAGAATGCCATCCTCACTGGTGGGCACCCAGGCTGGCTGGCTTGAAAACCCCAGCTCCTCATCCTGCCAGTTTGCACCTCGGTTGAGTTACTTAACTTCAGTTGCTTCCTCTGTAACACGAAGCTGGTAACATCACTCTCACTAGACTTTGAGTGAATTAAATACTCCGTGGCCACAGTCACATGTAATGAATGACAATCTGTGCTTCCCAACAGTCCTGTGATTTGATTGCTTTGTGATCATCCCCATTTTACAGACAAGCAAACTGAGGTTAAGTGACTTGCCTGAAGTTTCCCAGGAAGGGAGCCTGAGCATCTCCTGACTCTCCACCCAGGTGTCCCTCCCCCACTTCCAGTTCCAGAAGCCAAAGAAAGGGATGAGGACTTTCTGGTCCCCTGCCCTCGATGGACTAAGGAATATGGGTGTGTTCTTGGTAGGCTTCAGGACTTCAGTCAGCACCAAGTTTTTCCTGTTGGGTGGTTGTTGTTCATTTGCTCAGTTCTGCAGCATGCCAGGCTTCCCTGTCCTTCACTATCTCCTGGAGTTTTCTCAGACTCATGTCCATTGAGTTGATGATGCCATCCAGCCATCTCATCCTCTGTTTCCCCCTTCTCCTCCTGTCTTCAATCTTTCCCAGCATCAGTGTGTTTTCCAATGAGATGACGTTTCACATCAGGTGGCCAGAGTGTTGGAGCTTCAGCTCCAGCATCAGTCCTTCCAGTGAATATTCAGGGTTGATTTCCTTTAGGATTGACTGGTTTAATCTCCTTTCTGTCCAAGGGATTCTCAAGAGTCTTCTCCAGCACCACAATTCGAAAGCGTCAATTCTTTGGTGCTCAGCACTCTCCAAAAGGCGGTCTGCTCCTACCTGTGCCTTAAACAAGACTCTCACTGGGATGGCTCTGGGCTGAGGGAGCTTCTTTCTGCAAAGCAAATATGGGGTCCTGGAATGATATGAAAAATTATGAGGAAGGCAGATTTTGATCCAAGTCAAATAACCTGATTACCAGAATTATCACAGGTTTCCAAAAAGATGCCTTGTACGGTAATGAGCTCCCTGTTAATAGAAATATTCTAGCAAAGGCAGAAGGACCCAATGCAGATAGGGAGCTAGAATCCACCCATTAGCTGGAGGCCCAGCCCAGATGTCTCTATGTCCCCTTGGCTCTCCCTGAGTCTACGAGGGCCTGGATGAGGGGAGGCCGTGCTGACCTGCCCTCTCGCTCTCCTGTGTCTTGCAGGCATCGTGTTCCATTACAGAGCCATCTCCACGCGCTACACCCTGGACTTTGACAGGGCGCAGCGGGCCTGCCTGCAGAACAGTGCCATCATTGCCACACCCGAGCAGCTGCAGGCCGCCTATGAGGACGGCTTCCACCAGTGTGACGCCGGCTGGCTGGCCGATCAGACTGTCAGGTGAGCCCCAGGGCCACCATCAGAGTGGAGTGGGAAATGGACTGGAACGCTGACCAGCACTGAGCTGGTGCCAGCTTGACACCAAGGCCAACCTGGGCTGGGGCTAGACAGATGCCTTGGCCAGTTCGAGGTCAGGTCCCAAATCCTTGGTCCTCTGTCCTGTGGTGGATGAGTGATCACTAGCAGCATAGCTCTACATGAGCATTTTCTCCATGCAAATTTTACATCATTATTCTTCCTACTCATTTTTCCCTTTACATCTTTTTAAAATTTTGGTGTTTATATCTTTTTGTGAACCACTTTCTGTTCTGTTTTTAATAGGGCAAGACACATGTAAATTAAGCTTTTTGGCTCATTTTCCCCTGAGCACAGCTGCTAAGGGGTGGGTTGCCCAGCAAGACAGACAGAGCCTTACCTTTAAGGGAGGCTTACATTCATGTAAGGCTTACCTTCATGTAAGCAAGACTATAAAAGCAAGATGAGACAATTCTTTCGAGGTGGATCAAAGCTCCAAATGCAAAAGCCAGAACCACAAAGCCACAAGAAGAAAACAAAGGGAAATAGCTCTGTAATACTGGGATAGGCAAAAGATCTCAGGATAAAAAAAGCCATTAACCATTAAAAAAAAAAAAAAGGCAAGATGATTCAACAGCCTAGCATAGTGCAAGAGACCACACCTCAGATACAGGAGGTATCTATATACCTCAAACCTCAGTTCTGATACTCAGAGGCTGTGTGACTTTGAACAAATTGTTTAACATCTCTGGGCCCCACTTTCTTATGGTTCAGAGTGGTTATAGCACCTTCCTCCTTAGGTTGATATGAGACTCCAATGATACAGAGCAGGGTTCAGCAAACTATGGCTCATGGGTCAAGTCCAACCCACTCCTTTTTTCGGTAAACAAAGCTTTATGGGAACATAGCCACACTTGTTCTGTTGTCTGTGGTTGCTTTATTTGCACTAGGATGGCAAGGTTGAGTGGTTGGTCACAGTGGAGACCCTCTGGCCTGCAAGACCTGAAATATTTACTATCAATCCTTTTACAGAAAAGGTTGTACAATAAATTTTCAGTAAAAGGGGCCACCTTCTGTCACCAATAGTGATGAAAACATCTATCTCAATAAAGCTGGGCAAAAACTGTAGAAACAAGTAGCCCACAGATCTCAGCAGGTCCCGGCAAACACACCAGTAAGTCACTGCTTCCTCCCACAAGGGAGTAGGGTACAAGGTCACCGGCCCTCTCTGTCCCCCGAGTGTCACATCCCTACTTTGGGTTCCTGGCAGGTACCCCATCCACACTCCAAGGGAAGGTTGCTATGGAGACAAGGATGAGTTTCCTGGTGTGAGAACCTATGGCATCCGTGATACCAATGAAACCTATGATGTGTACTGCTTCGCAGAGGAGATGGAGGGTGAGGCCACCCCCTACCCTCCCAAGAGCCCCTTCGGAGGCTCTTCCCCTTCTTCCTGCTGCCCATCCCCTTCTTCCTGCTGCCCATCCCCTTCTTCCTGCTGCCCATCCCCTTCTTCCTGCTGACTCTTGGAGTCGTGCAGGCCTCTTCCTGGGCAGGGCACTAATCCAGGATACCATACCCTACCTCGACACCCCTCCCAACCCCCCATTCTTCCCCTGAAATACAGACATGTGGGACCAGGGCTTTGCCCAGTTAAAGACCAAACCCAGAGGAACCTGGGGATCTCCCTGGGGACTCAGGGCAGACATGAGAAAGAGCTCCTTACTCTGCCGGCTATCTTTTGCAGGCGAGGTCTTCTATGCAACATCCCCGGAGAAGTTCACCTTTCAGGAGGCAGCCAATGAGTGCCGGCGGCTGGGTGCCCGGCTGGCCACCACAGGCCAACTCTACCTGGCCTGGCAGGGCGGCATGGACATGTGCAGCGCCGGCTGGCTGGCTGACCGCAGCGTGCGATACCCCATCTCCAAGGCCCGGCCGAACTGCGGGGGCAACCTCCTGGGAGTGAGGACCGTCTACCTGCATGCCAATCAGACCGGCTACCCTGACCCTTCATCCCGCTATGACGCCATCTGCTACACAGGTAGGAATGGCCTGGAGGCATTTCGGAGGGGGAGCTGCCATCAAAATGGGGACCCAGAGGATGAGATCTTAGAATGGGGAGTTGGGTTTTACCTCCTTCAAGTGTCCATTGCGTACCTGAACCCCAAGTCTTAGCACCCCATATTTTCATGGGTTCCTTGGGAAGCTAGAATCACTGCAACCTGCAATAACCAGTCCTATCTCATCAGCCCAGAATTGGGGGAAAACATGAGATTCAGAGACTGTTTTCTCAAGTTTGAATCACGTTTCTGCCCCTCACTCCTGGGCAGCTGTGACAAAGTCAAGGCCCTGAGCCTCACTTTCCTCATCTGTCTAATGGGAAGATGTGGGGCCTGACTTGAGACCATGCACCACAGGAGGGCGCTGTGATCTGCCCTTTTTTAAATTTTAAAAGCATTTATTTTTTAATTGAAGGATAATTGCTCTACAGAATTGAGCTGCTTTCTGTCAAACAATCAGCCATAAGTATACATATGTTCCCCCCACCCTCTTGAGCCTCCCTCCCACCTTCCTCTCCACAGTTGCCCTTTTAATTGAATTCACTTCAAAATGAGGGCCATAGTGTTACTTAAGAGTGGGAAAAAGTTTTTGACAAGGACTTTATTGTGAACATTTAGACTAAAACTTTTAAAAATACTTTTATCCTATATTTTACACTGTCTAGGGTTATTTGTGCAAAAATAGTTAGAATTACCCCCAAAAGCTTCTCTTCACTTTTCAATATTCCCACCACCCTGTTTGCAGTTGTAGCAGCCTCATGGATGCTCTCTTTATTAATTACTAAGTGGCTCGTTTGTTCATGACTTAGGCAGGCAGTTCTCTCATGGCACTTTCATCAATTTCACGAGCTCCTGCATCTTTGGGAAGATTTTTTCGTTTCTTTTTCTGATTGATTTACATTGTCCCATTGGCTAGTTCTAACATCAGAGGGTCAGCAGGTGCTCACAAGATAGATAAGGAAGCAACTGGCTGGCATTACCCAGGAAGGGATGTTGGAACAAGATGGTGTTAATAAACAGTGAGCTGATTGGTCAGGGTTTTGTGCTATGGTGACTGCATATTTTTGCAATCTAGGGCACCCCTATAATAAATACTCAAGCTATTGAGGTCTCCAACAATGGGCCCAGCCAGGTGCCTGGCACACAGTAGGTGCTTTCTTTTCTTAGCAGAGGACGGGAGCATCTGATATTCATCTCCATCAAGCCAGCCCCAGGCCAAGCACTAATGCCTGTCTCTGCCCCCTGCCCCAGGTGAAGACTTTGTAGACATCCCAGAAAACTTTTTCGGGGTGGGCGGAGAGGAGGACATCACCATCCAGACGGTGACCTGGCCTGACGTGGAGCTGCCCCTGCCCCGAAACATCACCGAGGGTGAAGCCCGAGGAAACGTGATCCTCACGGCGAAGCCCGAATTTGAAGTCTCTCCCACCGCCCCGGAACCCGAAGAGCCTTTCACGTTTGTCCCTGAAGTAAGGGCCACTGCATTCCCCGCAGTGGAGAACAGGACTGGAGAGGCCACCCGGCCCTGGGCCTTTCCCGGAGAGTCCACGCCTGGTCTGGAAGCCCCCACAGCCTTCACCAGCGAGGACCTCGTCGTGCAGGTGACCTTAGCCCCAGGTGCAGCCGAGGTCCCTGGGCAGCCACGACTGCCAGGGGGTAAGTGTCTGCCTCTCAGGGGCTGCATCCAGGGCTGGGGGAAAAAGGGCTTGGTCTGGGGTCTTCTATGTGCAGTGCAGGAAGCGCTCAGTCACTCAGTCATTCCCACTCTTTGCAACCCTACGTACTGTGCCTGCCAGGCTCCTCTGTCCATGGAATTCTCCAGGCAAGGATACTGGAGTGGGTTGCCATTTCCCTTCTCCAGGGGATCTTCCCGGCCCAGGTAATCGAACCTGCGTCTCCTGCACTGGCAGGCAGATTCTTTACCACTGAGCCGCCTGGGTGGAGGTTCTTCTGTACTTTCAGCTTCACCTGGGATGTGAGACAAGCGTCCCTCCCCTCAGACTCAGCTCTCCTCACTTGTGAAACAAGGAACAAAGGGGATGGGCCACACCAGTGATGCTCACGCTCTTTTATGTGTGTGCGGCTCTCTGTCCCAAAGCGTTTCCTTCAAATGAAGTCAGAGGGAAAAACCAGTGAATGTATCGACAGGTAGAGGTGAAGGGCAAAGGAAAACCAGGGCCCTTCTGCCCACGGGCCCTCCTCGCCCCAACAGGCACTTCTGCAGAACAGAGCCGCTGAGCTCAGCTGCACTGGGTACCCTCAGGGCTTCTCACGGCACTGGCCCTCCAGAACAGGGGTCTGCAAACTGTGGTCCATGGACCAAACCTAGCCCTAGCCCATGTTCCCTTTTTCTGCGGCCCATGAACTAAGAATTAAGAAGCTTTTTAAGTAGTTGAGGGGAAAAGTCCAAAGAAGAATAACATTTTGTGACATATCATGAAAATTATATAAAATTCAAATTTTAATGTCCACAAATAAAGTTTGACAGGAACAAAGTCACACCCATTTGGTAACATAGTCTGTAGCCATTTAGAGCCCTTTAGGGCTATCAGGACAGGATCAGGTAGATGTACAAACCCCATTTAGCCCACAAAGTCTGAAATGTGTTCTGTCAGGCTTTTTCCAGAAAACGTTTGCCACCTTGGTTCTGGGATGGTGGCGTTTCAGGTGCTTAATAAATGTCTGGATGGGGACTTCCCTGGTAGTGCAGGTTAAGACCCTGCACTTCCAATGCATGGGGCGTGGGTTCAGTCCCTGGTCAGGGAACTAAGATCCCACATGCCAGGCAACCAAAAACTAAATAAATATTTGGATAATTGGGATGTCATGTCACATAGAACTTGGCTGGTTCCAAAACTCAGGTCCATGGAAAGCTGTACTGCGGTGGCCTCCATGAGGACCTTGGTAGTATCTCCACCTGGGGCAAGTCAGATGGAGACCTGCCCTCCACTGCCATCCACCTTCACTCCCATGGTGCCACAAAGTGAGATATCAGCCTGAATCACCCAGATAAATACAGTATATTGAGAAGGAAGAATTGCTTAGAAGTTTGGGGGTAAGGCCAACAGTAGCCGTGTCCCAGGGTTGGCTCAGGGCTGGAGAGATTCTCACTCCCTCCACATGGCCGCGACCCATAAAGGTGCCAATGGATAGGTGGGCATCTAACACAGGAAAGGACAAGAACGTGAGGGAGACTCAGATTGGGGATCCGTCTGCAGCTGGACACGAACTGGCCAGTCACCCAGGGAAGTGTCAAAATCCAATGTGTGTCCAGTTAAATGCAACAGGGGAGGCAGAGTGAGTGGGGGTTCATGGACAGGCTGTGTGCTGTGCTCGTCCCCAGACATATACCCGGTGCACCCGCACAAACTCTTGCAGCCGTTTTCCGGAGGACCACCTACCCCCTGAACCCGGGACTTTGGGCCAAGTGGAAGAAAGGCAGTGGTTTGATTGATTTGTTTGATTTCTTCTTTGTCCTTCTCTGTATTTTCTGAATGCTCTGCAGTGATCACTTATTTTTTTTATACTAAGAGCAAGTGCCTTTATTTTAAAGAGTCTGGGGACAAATGAGCAGCCTGGAGTGAGGAAGCCAGAATGAAGGGTTGGGGACACCCATGGCAGAAAGGTCCTAGAAGGCTTTCTCAGGAAGGTGGATTTCAGGAGCAGTTTGAACAAGCAGAGATTACCAGCTTGACAAGGAATCAGATGAGGAGTAGGAAAGGAAGGAGGGGGTGAAAGGAGGCCATTCCTCAAGGAGCCAGGGCTCCTTCCACACCTGCAAAGCCTTGAGAACCAGGTACCACGGACCCTGGCATGGTGGCCCTTGGCCCATGCCCTGATCCTGACCTGTCTCACCTTCTCTCCCTCTCCTCCCCACCCAGGAGTCGTGTTCCACTACCGCCCGGGCTCCTCCCGCTACTCACTGACCTTTGAGGAGGCCAAGCAGGCCTGCCTGCGCACCGGGGCCGTCATCGCCTCGCCCGAACAGCTCCAGGCCGCCTATGAAGCAGGCTACGAGCAGTGTGACGCCGGCTGGCTGCAGGACCAGACAGTCAGGTGAGACGAGCTGGTCTCCCCTCCCCATCCAAACCCAACTGTGCGAGGTCAGGCTTGGGGAGCCTGAGCCTGTGGCACCCACCACCAAGCGGGCACCCACCACACTGTGTGCTCCGTTAATTAGTGGCTCCTGGCTGACCCCTTAATTTCTCCCCCAGAACCAAGACGTATTCTGAGAGGGTGGGAATGGGTCCCAGGAGACATTAGCTCCTTAGTCTTTTCTCCTCAAAAAACATATTGAGAGCTCCCTGTCAAGCCCCCCAGTCCTCCCAGCCTGACCCTTCCATGCCATGGGCTTTCTTCTGAAGCCAGGAACCCCTCAATTGCCCCCAGGCGGCCCTACCCCCAGCTGCACAGGGAGCATGTTGCATGAGAGACTCCTTCCTGTTTTATTTTTAATTTTTTTGGCTGCACTGGGTCTTCGCTGCTGCTTGTGGACTTTCTCTGGTTGTGGCAAGTGGGGGCTACTCTAGTTACTCATTGTGGTGGCTTCTCTCGTTGCGTAGCATGGGCTCTAGGGTGCACGGGCTCAGTAATTGTGGCACATGGGCTTAGTTGCCCCAAAGCATATGGGATCTTCCCAGACCAGGGATTGAACCTGTGTCCCCTGCACTGGCAGGCAGATTCTTAACCACTGGCGCACCAGGGAAGTCCTCCTTCCTGGTTTGAATCCTCCAGGAGACCTGCCGCCTCACCCTGGGGCCCTGCATCCCCAGTTTTCCAGAACAAACTCTCATCTGCCCCTCCCACCCTTCCCTGCAGATACCCCATTGTGAGCCCACGTACCCCCTGTGTGGGTGACAAGGACAGCAGCCCAGGGGTCAGGACCTACGGCGTGCGGCCACCATCAGAAACCTACGATGTCTACTGCTACGTGGACAGACTGGAGGGTACAGGCCCTGTTCTCAAATTTCGGGCTGTGGATGGGTGAGGGAGCTGATGGGGAGATATAGCGGAGGGGGAGTCACCATCTACCTAGTCCCGTTCTCACCTGGGCAGGCAACCAGGAAAGGATCCTACTTAAGAAAGAAGGCCTTCCCAGTCCCCCTCTCAGGCCAGGCCCCTTGTCTGCCTCCCAGATGGTTCACATGGATTCCCCAGCATTGCAGGGAAGCACTGGTTTCTTGAAAAGGCAATAATTTCTATAGATAAGTGAATTAAAATGTTATATGTACCTTCTGCCTCATTGAGCATCTCAATGCCCATGAACAAATCAAAGACTCTGAGAAGTCCTGCATTAAAAAAAAAAAAAAAAACTCTTCAACTCTGCTTAACCAAGCATCACCCAAGCTTAAAGAAACACAGACCCTTGTTTGGTCTTATTTCTTATCATTTCAATTAAAATCACCAAATCACTGTCCCACTGAACCCAGTCTTGGAAATGCTGGTATTCTGGAGAGATTTCAACACTGCCACTCACTTGTTTGGGGACCTGGGCAAGTTACTTAACCTCTCTAGGCCTCAGTTTCCTCATCTATAAAATGGAGCTGATTTATGCTTATATCAGAGACTTCACTGAGTATTAAATGATATGTGCATAAAAAGTGCCTGGTATAAGCAGGTGTTCAGTAAATGTGAACTTCCTCCCCCCAGATCAGACACAGACCCCAGTATTGTTCTGGGTGTTGGGACTCCAACCCCTAAGAGTGGCCACAGGCCCTGCTCCCTGAATTCACAAGATGCGGGTGGGGCCACAGGTCCATAGCATTCAGTGCTCCATGATTCAGTGCTGAGGTTTAGGGGAGCACGGGGGTGCCCAGGAGTGCCTCTCTTAGACAGAAGAGGGGGTGCCTGTGACTGGAGAATCCAGAGAGAAGGAGGGGAGGTTGTTCAGATGGAGCGTGACTAACTCGTCTTAGTGCAGCTGGCCTGCCCCGGCGTGAGCAGCGGCTGCTCTGGCCATGGGCACAGAGGCTCACACCTGCCACCTGCCTCTACCCCCAGGGGAGGTGTTCTTTGCCACACGCCTGGAGCAGTTCACCTTCCGGGAAGCCCAGGAGTTCTGTGAATCCCAAAACGCCACGCTGGCCACCACGGGCCAGCTCTACGCTGCCTGGAGCCGTGGTCTGGACAAATGCTACGCCGGCTGGCTGTCCGACGGCAGCCTCCGCTACCCCATTGTCACCCCGAGGCCCGCCTGTGGCGGCGACAAACCAGGCGTGAGAACCGTCTACCTCTACCCCAACCAGACGGGCCTCCTGGATCCGCTGTCCCGGCACCACGCCTTCTGCTTCCGAGGTTTGTGTCCTCATCTCCCCTCCGGCCCCCCTCTGTCTTGGGGGTGACTCCCCCAGACTCATCCCTCCTGATCTTTGCCCATCCATCACAGCATAGAGGACAAAGTCAGTCCATCTGGATGGGGTGACCTTAGGCTTTGACTCCATGGCAAGTACACCCTTCTAATGTGCCCCCAGAGACACATAAAGAGAAACAAGGAAGAACTTGGGCTCTAAAATCGGGCAAATCTGAATTTTAGTTATGACTCTGCTGCTTTGTAGCTGTGTGACCTTAGGCAAGTCACTTAGTCTCTCTGTTTCTCTGCTTTCTCTATAAAATAATGATATAATATTTCCTACCTTGAATTGTTGCTGGAAGGATTAACTGGGGTAATGCATACAGAACACTTAGCATAGTACCTGGGAAATACTAAATGCTCAATAAATGTTAGCTTTGCAAATAACACACATATATGTTGTGTGTATGTGTGTATATAAGTATACATGCAGTTTTGATTTGTACAGCCTGGTCAAACTTTCATTTGCTTCTAAATATTTCTGTGATGAGTTTAGTCAAATTATTCTTCACTAAGCACCAAAAATTCACATTTCTAACTGACCCGTGCTGAGGACTCTGTGCCATGTTACCAGAGTTCTGAGAGGGATGTCATCGACTCAGTGGGCATGGCCAGGCCATGGCCAAGGCCTGGCTGGGCTCTGATTGGATGAGTTCTTACGGGGTCCATGGGTCCAGATGCACTGCCCAGAATGTAGATTGTAGTACTGGCTTGTGCCATATTTTACATATTATACATCAAAACTCAGTATATTTATAACTTCCTGTGAATATGTAATTATTTCAAAATAAAGTTAATTTTTTAAAAAACTCCCCAAGGGACTTCCCTGGCAGTCCACTAGATAAGACTTAGCCTTCCAATGCAGGGAGCCTGGGTTCAATCCCTGGTCAGGGAGCTAGGATCCCACATGCCTTGTGGCCAAAAAAACAAAACATAGAACAGAAACAATATTGCAACAGATTCAATAGAGACTTTAAAAATGGTCTAAATTTTTTAAAAAAGGATCTTTAAAAAAAAAAAAAACCTTGAATGACCCAAAGTTTCCAAGACTTTCAGTGCTAAGTCGCTTCAGCCATGTCTGACTCTTTGAGATGCTATGGACCATAGCCCACCAAGATCCTGTCTATGGGATTCTGCAGGCAAGAATACTGGAGTGGGTTGCCATGCCCTCCACCAGTGGATCTTCCTGACCCATGAATCAAACCCATGTCTCTTATGTCTCCTGCATTAACAGACCGGGTTCTTTACCATTAGCCCCACCTGGGAAGCCCCAGGATCACCTTTTAAAACCTAATTCAAAGAAAGTTCAGTCTCACTCTGCCAGTCAAGAAAGCCAATACCTTCCCAGAGGATTTGATGAGGCCCTTGACCCAGCACCCCTCTCCTTGCTCTGGACATCAGAAGCAAGCCAATTAGCCCCCCAGTAAATTCTCAGCCAAGCATTTCTACCATCCATCCCCAACCCTCTGTAGACTCAGCCTTTTATACATCTGCTGAGAAACCTGGCTTCCTTCCCGACAAGCCCGCTAAACCAGAACAGTTTCTCCCAGTCAATGAATCCTGCCTTCACCAGCCAGTGCCAGGATGGCTTCATGCATGCTTCAGCACTCTCCTGATTTTGATCCAGACACACTTGGAACATAATTTCTGTCCAAGAAAGGCAGCATCATTGCAGTACTTAAGAGCAGAGTGTCTGACATCAGATTGTGCTGTGTGCACAGTAGCTCAGTCATGTCCAACTCTTTTGCGACCCCATGGACTATAGCCTGTCAGGCTCCTCTGTCTATGGAATTCTGCAGGCAAGAATACTGGAGCAGATTGCCATTTCCTCTTCCAGGGGATCTTCCTGACCCAGGGATCAAGCCCACATCTTTTGCATTGCCTGCATTAGCAGGTGGATTTTTTACTAATACACCACCTGGGAAGCCCCCGGCACCAGATACTTGGGCCTATAGACTAGATCTGTTACTTAGAAGCTACTGACACTGGAAAAGTCACTTAACCTTAGTGTCCCTGTTTGTAAGTGAGATAATGTATTTCTCTCACGTGGTTCTTGTGGGATAAAATTATTTTATCTTATTGTTAAATATTTGCTTATTTATTTGGCTGTGCTGGGTCTTAGTTACGGCATGCAGGATCTTTAGTTCTGACAGGAGGGATCTTTAGTTGCTCCATGCGAACTCTTAGTTGCAGTGTATGGGATCTGGTTTCCTGACCTGGAATTAAACCCAGGCTCCAGCATTGGGAGCACTGAGTCTCAGCCACTGGATTACCAGGGAAGTCCCCTAAGATGATTTTATGCATCGATGCATCACACCTTTAAACAATGCCTGGCATGTATAATAGATTCTGCAAAAGAGGTGCCCCAGACCACCCTGAAATAAAGTGCTGATGGTGTGTGCATATTGATATAGTTGAAGCAAACAGCTCTTATTAATTAAGGACAAACATCATCTCACTGGACTGGGTAGGGATTGGAAGGCCAAGGACCAGCAAGATTTGTGCACAGGCTTGGCCCACCTCATGGTCCCCTGTGTCCCTTGAAGAAGGGCCAGCCTGAGGTGGGTCACTGGTAAGAAGGAGCCGCCAGCCCTCATCACCCATATCCCCTTTAGGTGTTTCAGTGGCGCCCTCTCCAGGAGAAGAGGAGGGTAGCACACCCACAGCAGGCCCTGACGTGGAGGATTGGATCGTGACCCAAGTGGGGCCTGGCGTGGCTGCTGTCCCCGTCGAGGAGGAGACGACTGCAACCCCAGGCTTCACCGTTGAGCCAGAAAACAAGACGGAATGGGAACTTGCCTACACCCCAGCGGGCACTTTCCCATTACCAGGTCCGTCCGGGCTCTCCTTCAAGTCCTGCTGCCTCCCTGGGCTAGGGTGTGGCCTGGATGGGGGGAGGAGAGGGTGTTCTCTCCCTGGGACCTGTGCTCTATTTCCCCAGCCCTGACCCCCAGCCCTGACATTATCTAAGTGTGCTGCCGTGGGCAACTTCAGCCATCTCAGCAGGCATCAAGGACCAACACCTAAGGGAGAAAAAGGGCGGCTTTGTTCATAAAACATACCTCTTCTCTCTCTCTCTCTCTCTCTCTCTCTCTCTCTCTCTCTCTCACTCTCTCTCTGCACTCAGTTATCTTCCAGCTACACGCCCCAAATGCCCAGCACTGTATCAACTGGAGGACTCTCACTCTGTGCTCCTGCATTCAGACCTCTACTCTCTAAACTCTTAAAACTCTTGTGGGAGGGACTCCAACAGAGGGGAAAGGACCTGGGAGGGGGTGGCTATTGGCAGTCCCACTGTGACCTGTCTTCTCTTGTTTCTCCTTTTGGGTCCTTTTTTGGGCCAGGTGTCCCCAGTCAGAACTTCCTGAGCAACAGCTGTCATGATTAAATCACATGGGACTTGCTGGGATGAAATCCACAGACTTCAAACCCTATTAGAAAAAGCATTTAGTAGGCATCAGGTTTAGGAACTCCTGGCTTACAGAAACATTAATAGCACCCACCCCACAACCCCCACCATTGCAGACCTTCTCAGAGCCTTAGATGTGCTAATATGCTCTGTGAAGCAGAGAGGGCAGTGTATTCAATGGGTCCCAAATGAATCTGACCACAGGGTCTTTTTTGTTTTTTCATGGAACATTTTTAACATGGCCCTCTTTGGGTAAGACTGATTTATAGTGATGCACAGTAACCTGTGTGTACCTAGCAGAGTCAATTTTCCCAGGGTCACGTGCATTTGAAGACAGAAATATATATGAAAGCTTCCCACTAATTCACCTAGTCATTCAGTCAGTGCACAGTTCCCAAGCAATTTGGCTGCACCAAGTGCTCCTCTGGGTGCTGGAAATGCAAACCCAGAAGGTAAAGTTGCATCAGTGGAGTAAGTAGAATTTTCACTCAGAGACCTCACCCAGCAGTCACACCTGCTCCAGGCCCTTTCCTCACCCTTCACCAGGACAGGAAGAACTGAGTCCTCTTAGGCATGAGTGTGTGGCTTGGCACAGAACTCGGGAAGCCAGTAACAGAAGTTATTCATGGGAGGGGACTCCAGTGGCCCCACAGAAATATTTCCCAATATTTCGTCACTTCCCTACCACTTCACTGATTTGAGCCCTATGGGGAACCATCTCTACTGCTGTTAACTCTGGACCTTTTTCTTTAAGTTGACTTGCTTTTGACAAGAAACCAAAAATGTAATGTCTGTAAGTGGCTAGTTTCTGATTTGTGGTGTGTGTATATATTTATGTGTATATGTATGCATGCAGGGGACTTCCCCGGCAGCTCAGTGATAAAGAAACTGCCTGCAATGCAGGAGACCTGGGTTTAAGTCCTGGATAGGGAAGATCCCCCTGGAGGAGGGTATGGCAACCCACTCCAGTATTCATGCCTGGAGAATCCCATGGACAGGGGAGTCTGGCAGGCTTCTGTCTATGGGGTTGTAAAGAGTCAGACACTACTGAAGTGACAGAGCGTGCACGCACGCATGTATATGTGTGTTTAAATAGATAGATAAATATCCATCTAAAATCCTCTTGCATGCATACCACCACTGCTCTTGAGCTCCTTACCCTTATCCAGGATTCTCCTTTAAGTGAAGGTAGGCTGTGAGCCTGACCACTGGGACCCAGCACCCTCTGTGCTCAGGTTCTCTGCCTGGGAAATTAGCCCAAAAATATATGCAAGGTACAATCCCAGCTAGTTATTTTTCAATGCCAAAGGAAACAGGACAGAAAGGAAATAATGTAACCATAATTATTTAGAGTTATGAGGTTTCTTTCTTTTCTCTATCTCTCTCTTCCAAATCTTCTCTATTAGCCCTATTAGGGCTCTCAAAATGGAAAAAGTTGATGTATTTTTGAAAACATCCCTCTTGTCCTCAGAGGGATGAGTTCTGGTGCACAATTCTCATTTACAAGGATTATCAGCATTGTCAGGATATTAAAATCATTATGCCATGTCCTGCCCCAGAATTCCTAATTCAGTGGAGCTGGGGAGGGACCTGAGAATCTCCTTTTCTGTCCATCTCCCAGCTGATGCAGTGCTGATGGTCCAAAAACCACACTTTAAAAATCATAGTTCTAGATAAATGAGGTGATAATGTAGAAGCACTTGAAAGAAGGTGACCTTGATTGCCTTCAACGGCAGCCAGGCTCTCACATACTGTGACTTGTGTGGGTGGTGCCCCCTAGAGTCTCACAAAGCAGAGCCTGAGGGTGGTGGGGAGCCTTCTGGTCCCTATTCTCCCAAGTGTCTGTGCAAGGGTCCATTAGAAAATGTCTAGACACATCTCTGAGCTCTTGAGGAAAAAGTCTTACTGTGGAAGGAATGGAGTTCAGCTTCTCTGCATGAGCTTAAGATGGGCAGAGTTACTAAATTCACACCTCGTCTTTCTTCTTCCTTTCCTCCAGGGATCCCTCCTACATGGCCTCCCACTGGCGCAGCAACAGAGGAGCACACAGAAGGCCCTTCTGCAACAGAAGTGCCCTCAGCCTCAGAGAAGCCTTTCCCCTCAGAGGAACCATTCCCCCCAGAGGAACCAATCCCCTCAGAGAAACCATTCCCCCCAGAGGAACTGTTCCCCTCAGAGAAGCCATTCCCCTCAGAGAAGCCGTTCCCCTCAGAGGAACCATTCCCCTCAGAGAAGCCATTCCCCCCAGAGGAACCATTCCCCTCAGAGAAGCCATTCCCCCCAGAGGAACCATTCCCTTCAGAGAAACCAGTCCCCTCAGAGGAGCCTTTCACCTCAGAGAAGCCATTCCCCTCAGAGGAGCCATTCCCCTCAGAGGAGCCATCCACACTTTCAGCCCCAGTGCCCAGCAGGACTGAGCTGCCAAGCTCTGGGGAGGCATCTGGGGTGCCCGAAATCAGTGGTGACTTCACAGGCAGTGGAGAAATTTCAGGACACCTAGACTTAAGTGGGCAGCCCTCAGGGGAAAGTGCAAGTGGACTGCCCTCTGAAGACCTTGACTCCAGTGGGCTCACCTCTACAGTGGGCTCAGGCCTGCCTGTGGAAAGTGGACTGCCTTCAGGGGAAGAAGAGAGAATTACATGGACCAGTGCTCCTAAAGTTGACAGGTTGCCCTCTGGGGGTGAAGGCCCAGAAGTTTCTGCTTCTGGAGTAGAGGACATCAGTGGACTTCCTTCTGGAGGAGAAGGTCATCCAGAGATCTCTGCATCTGGAGTAGAGGACATCAGTGGACTTCCTTCTGGAGGAGAGGTTCATCTAGAGATCTCTGCCTCTGGAGTAGAGGACCTAAGTAGACTTCCTTCTGGAGAAGGTCCAGAAATCTCTGCCTCTGGAGTAGAGGACCTCAGTGGACTTCCTTCTGGAGAAGAAGGTCATCTAGAGATCTCTGCCTCTGGAGTAGAAGACCTCAGTGTAATTCCTTCTGGAGAAGGTCCAGAAGTCTCTGCTTCTGGAGTAGAGGACCTTAGTGGACTTCCTTCTGGAGAAGGTCCAGAAGTCTCTGCTTCTGGAGTAGAGGACCTTAGTAGACTTCCTTCTGGAGAAGGTCCAGAAGTCTCTGCTTCTGGATTAGAGGACCTTAGTGGACTTCCTTCTGGAGAAGGTCCAGAAGTCTCTGTTTCTGGAGCAGAGGACCTCAGTGGACTTCCTTCTGGAGAAGGTCCAGAAGTCTCTGTTTCTGGAGCAGAGGACCTCAGTGGACTTCCTTCTGGAGAAGGTCCAGAAGTCTCTGTTTCTGGAGCAGAGGACCTTAGTGGACTTCCTTCTGGAGAAGGTCCAGAAGTCTCTGTTTCTGGAGCAGAGGACCTTAGTGGACTTCCTTCTGGAGAAGGCCCAGAAGTCTCTGCTTCTGGAGTAGAGGATCTCAGCAGACTTCCTTCTGGAGAAGGTCCAGAAGTCTCTGTTTCTGGAGCAGAGGACCTTAGTGGACTTCCTTCTGGAGAAGGTCCAGAAGTCTCTGCTTCTGGAGTAGAGGATCTCAGCAGACTTCCTTCTGGAGAAGTTCCAGAAGTCTCTGCTTCTGGAGTAGAGGATCTCAGCAGACTTCCTTCTGGAGAAGTTCCAGAAGTCTCTGCCTCTGGAGTAGAGGACATCAGTAGACTTCCTTCTGGAGAAGGTCCAGAAGTCTCTGCCTCTGGAGTAGAGGACCTCAGTGTTCTTCCTTCTGGAGAAGGTCATCTAGAGATCTCAGCCTCTGGAGTAGAGGACCTCAGTAGACTTCCTTCTGGAGAAGGTCCAGAAGTCTCTGCCTCTGGAGTAGAGGACCTCGGTGTTCTTCCTTCTGGAGAAGGTCAGCTAGAGACTTCTGCTTCTGGAGTAGAGGACCTCAGTAGACTTCCTTCTGGAGAAGGTCCAGAAGTCTCTGCCTCTGGAGTAGAGGACCTCAGTGTTCTTCCTTCTGGAGAAGGTCATCTCGAAATCTCAGCCTCTGGAGTAGAGGACCTCAGTGTTCTTCCTTCTGGAGAAGGTCCAGAAGTCTCTGCCTCTGGAGTAGAAGACCTCGGTGTTCTTCCTTCTGGAGAAGGTCATCTAGAGACCTCTACCTCTGGAGTAGAGGACCTCAGTAGACTTCCTTCTGGAGAAGGTCATCTAGAGACCTCTACCTCTGGAGTAGAGGACCTCAGTAGACTTCCTTCTGGAGAAGGTCATCTAGAGACCTCTACCTCTGGAGTAGAGGACATCAGTAGACTTCCTTCTGGAGAAGGTCATCTAGAGACCTCTACCTCTGGAGTAGAGGACCTCAGTAGACTTCCTTCTGGAGAAGGTCATCTAGAGACCTCTACCTCTGGAGTAGAGGACCTCGGTAGACTTCCTTCTGGAGAAGGTCCAGAAGTCTCTGCCTCTGGAGTAGAGGACCTTGGTGTTCTTCCTTCTGGAGAAGGTCATCTAGAGATCTCTGCCTCTGGTGTAGAGGACCTCAGTAGACTTCCTTCTGGAGGAGAGGATCATCTAGAGACTTCTGCTTCTGGAGTAGGGGACCTTAGTGGACTTCCTTCTGGAAGGGAAGGTCTGGAGATCTCTGCTTCTGGAGCTGGGGATCTTAGTGGGTTGATTTCTGGAAAAGAAGACTTGACTGAGTCAGCTTCTGGAGCCTTGGACCTTGACAGAATACCTTCTGTAACTCTAAGAAGTGGGCAAGCTCCAGAAGCAAGTGGTCTTCCTTCTGGATTTAGTGGTGAGTATTCTGGGGTGGACCTTGGAAGTGGCCCATCATCTGGCCTTCCTGACTTCAGTGGACTTCCATCTGGGTTCCCAACTGTCTCCCTAGTGGATACTACATTGGTGGAAGTCGTCACAGCCACCACAGCAGGTGAACTAGAAGGAAGGGGAACCATTGACATCAGTGGTGCTGGAGAAACATCTGGGCTGCCCTTCAGTGAGTTGGACATTAGTGGAGGAGCAAGCGGACTCTCTTCAGGAGCTGAACTCAGTGGCCAAGCATCTGGGTCGCCTGACATCAGTGGGGAAACCTCTGGACTCTTTGGTGTCAGTGGACAGCCCTCAGGGTTTCCTGACATTAGTGGGGAAACTTCCGGGCTTCTTGAGGTCAGTGGGCAGCCATCAGGGTTTTCTGGAGAAATATCTGGCATGACTGAGCTTAGTGGACTGCCCTCTGGACAACCGGAAATCAGTGGAGAAGCTTCTGGAATTCTTTCTGGCCTTGGTCCACCATTCGGCATAACCGACCTGAGTGGAGAAGCACCTGGGATCCCTGATCTCAGTGGGCAACCATCGGGTTTGCCAGAGTTCAGTGGGACAACATCTGGGATCCCTGACCTGGTTTCCAGTGCCATGAGTGGCAGTGGTGAATCTTCTGGCATTACGTTCGTGGACACCAGTTTGGTTGAAGTGACCCCAACGACATTTAAAGAAGAAGAAGGCTTAGGATCTGTGGAACTCAGTGGCCTCCCTTCAGGAGAGGCAGATCTCTCAGGCACATCTGGGCTAGTGGATGTCAGTGGACTGTCTTCTGGAGCAATTGACTCCAGTGGGTTTACGTCCCAGCCTCCAGAATTCAGTGGCCTGCCAAGCGGAGTAACTGAGGTCAGTGGAGAAGCCTCCAGAGCTGAGAGTGGGAGCAGCCTGCCCTCCGGAGCATATGACAGCAGTGGACTTCCGTCTGGTTTCCCCACTGTCTCTTTTGTAGACAGGACTTTGGTGGAATCTGTAACCCAGGCTCCAACTGCCCAAGAAGCAGGAGAAGGGCCTTCAGGCATTCTGGAACTTAGTGGTGCCCCTTCTGGAGCACCAGACATGTCTGGAGACCATTTGGGATCTTTGGACCAAAGTGGGCTTCAGTCTGGGCTAGTGGAGCCCAGTGGGGAGCCTGCAAGTACTCCATATTTTAGTGGGGACTTTTCTGGCACCACTGATGTAAGTGGGGAATCCTCGGCAGCCACGAGCACCAGTGGGGAGGCCTCCGGACTTCCAGAAGTTACGTTAATCACATCTGAGTTGGTGGAGGGTGTTACTGAACCAACTGTTTCCCAGGAACTGGGCCAGAGACCCCCCGTAACATACACCCCCCAGCTTTTTGAATCCAATGGTGAAGCCTCTGCATCTGGGGATGTGGCAAGGTTCCCTGGATCTGGGATAGAAGCGTCTTCATTCCCAGAATCCAGCGGTGAGATGTCGGCCTATCCCGAGGCTGAGGTGGGAGCGTCTGCTGCCCCCGAGGCAAGCGGAGGAGCTTCCGGGTCCCCTGACCTGAGTGAAACCACCTCCACCTTCCATGAAGCTGATCTGGAGGGAACCTCAGGCCTGGGAGCAAGTGGCAGCTCCTCAGCCTTTCCACAAGGCCCCACGGAGGGCTTGGCCACCCGGGAAGTGAGTGGAGAGTCAACCACCACCTTTGACATGAGCATAGAGGCATCAGGCTCACCTTCCACCACTCCCCTGGCTTCTGGAGACAAGACTGACACCAGCGGAGACCTGTCTGGCCACACCTCAGGGCTGGATATTGTCATCAGCACCACCATCCCAGAATCCGAGTGGACTCAGCAGACCCAGCGCCCTGCAGAGGCGCGTCTAGAAATCGAATCCTCAAGCCCCGTGCACTCAGGAGAAGAGAGCCAAACAGCTGACACAGCCACCTCCCCAACTGATGCTTCTATCCCAACCTCTGCAGGAGGGACAGATGATTCAGAGACAACCACAACAGGTACAGTTGGGATTATTTTCCTTTAAGTGGGTCGGAGTGATTCAGACTGTAGCATGGTAGGAAGCAGTGTCGACTCAAGGTTGTGAGCTGTGCAGGCTTAGGCAAGTTTCTTAACCTCTCTGAGCCTCATCTGTAAAACAGCAATAGTACCAGGGGAGAGTAAATGAGATATAAATATGTCGAGAATGAGGCTATCTTTTGCACACAGTACACACTTGTAGGTTCACAATTGTTACGGTCACAGTAGAGTTACATCACACAAACATTTATATGTGAACTCAACTATCTGTACTTGGCACTAGAAGTACTGTTTAGATAGTACTGGAAATTCTTCTCCTGTCCCTGGCCCATGGAATGAGTGTGAAAGGAGAGAATGAATCTGCTGATGACATTTATGTGCCAATATTTACTTTGTGCAGGGTTAAAACCTACACAGTTCAAGAAACTATGATGCATCACTTCAGCTGTGTCATGCCTTTGGACCCTGGGTCCTCACCCCAACCATGTGCAAGTGAACCCTCCTCTGTACTGTAGTGATGGTCTCGCCTTGACACAAACCCAGAAGCTGCTGATTTTCCTTTACTTTCTGGGACACCTTGCATCCCCCTGTGTACTGAGAGTCCAGTCAGAGAATTCAGCCCTGCCAGAAGCAGGGGCTCAGGAGGAAGATAGTCCCCAGAAATCATGTTGACCCAAAACCAGCCTTGTGGGTTTCTGTGGCCTGGGGCCCCACCCTGGAGGTCTTGGAGGCTGCGCTGTACCCCAGGCAGCTACATTCTTGATGCCCAGCGTCTCCCTGGGGGTTGCAGCCTCCACCAGTTCCTGTGTGAGAAGCCCTGTTGTGCTGGGACCCGCCAGGAGATGGAGGGACACGTTATACACCTGTGCCCCCTGGCCACACTGACAAGCACTGCGACGTAGGTAAGACCCTCGGTGGCCATGGAGGTGCAGACAGAAGGGTCAGGAGAAGGCGTCCGAGGTCACCTGAGGTGCAGGCTTCTTGTCACACTGGCATAGGAGAGTACATAGTGATGTGTTGGGGTAGCAGCCCCAGGGTAAGCACGGCATGTCTTTCTAGAGGGTCTGTTCTGCGTGATGGTTTAAGAGAAAAAAGTCATTAAACTGAGAAGTAGTTCTTTTTTTTTTGTCAAGCCAATGATTGTTTTATGAGCAAAATCCAAAAGGTGCTTGAATTTTGAAGATAAAGCTGGAGACTTCAAAGAAATTTTGAGCTAGGGAGTGTATTGAAGAGAGCCGGTCATGCCCCGAAGTCCCTGGGAGGGATGTCGGAGGGTAGGCTGTCTTGCATCATGCAGAGTGGACCCCTCTGGGAAAGCCCCTATGGTCCCCTCTATGCTTAGGCCTGGGTGGGGTTTGAGTACCTTTCTTGCCTTAAATGAGATGACATAGATAGAACTCATCACTCCCAGCTCCAGGATTTATGGCTGCAGGTCAGCTATGACCCAGCAGAGCCCCACCCTTGAGCACCCACCATGCTGGGGCCTCTGTCTGTCCAAGCAGCTTGTGAGGAGTGAGGAGCCTGGGGGATCCTCTGATTGGAGGTGGTTCCCAAAATGAGATGATAGAATCTATGTGTCGCTCCCTGAGCACCTGGAGGCCTGTGGCCGTGAGGACATTTCAGCTCATCAACATCACCTCCCTTGAGGGAAGAAATGCCCAGTTCCCTCCAAGCGCAGATTCTTGAGTTAGCTCTCTGCATTCCCTCCACGTCCTTACCCCTGCTTGTGTCTGGAGTCAGAAATCCGAGACCCAAGGCCTTCCATTAGGCTTCACATGCAAAATGCCTTTACATCATACACAAAGGTACATTAATATGGATATCAATATATATTCAAAATTATACAGCAAGTCCCCTCCATGTAAATGAGTTCTGTACAGAGACCACATTTGTATGTCTAGTTTGTTCTAAGTCAAACAAGATTAGCCTAGGTACCCAACTAATACAATTGGCTATAGAGTACTATACTGTAATAGGTTTATAATACTTTTCACACAAGTAATACATACAAAACAAACACAAAAACAAAGAAAACATTTTTAATCATACAGGACAGTACCTTGAGAAGTACAGGAGGACAGTACCTTGAGAAGTATAACACTGGCATACAGGCGCTGGCATCGAGCGAACAGGCTAGAAGAGTTGCTAACTCGAGGAGGGAGAGGAGGTGGGAGATGGTAGTGATGAAGGGTCATCAGCAACATGAGATGGAGGGCAAGCTGCCATGTCACTCATGCCTGATGCCGATGGCATGGGTTCAGGTTCATTGCTGGAACCACATGCACGTTCGCATCTTTAAAGTTTGCAACTTGAAGGCTCACATGTAGGGAAATTACTGTGAATGAGTTATATACTCTTAATATATATACACTCTTAATATAAACCTGCTATATACTTGGCACTTACACAGGAAATGTATGTGTATATATACATATACATATACACAATATATGTGTATATGTATGTATACACATATACACAAACAGGCTCTAGAGTGTATACTACTCACTCTCTTCACCTTTGGGATCAGCCTCTGCCCACACGTGGGGGCTGTGACTGAGAACACTACAGGCCTCTGTGGCCGGAGAAGGTTGGTTCTCCTAGCAAGGTCCTGGCCTTTCTACCAAGGGGACAGTGCTTCCACTGAGCCATCGTAACCCCAGGGGCTGCAGACACACCCCTCTGTCTTCCACTCCCACGGGGAAGGCAGAGCACTACCTCTGTGCTGGGAGAGCCCACCACTGATGAAAACCTGGGGAGACCTGTTGCGCTTTGCAGCACAGAGCCCTCAGTCAGCAGTAGAAGTGACTCTGTCTGGTAGACGTCTTGCCAGGTGTGCAGACACGTTCCCCACTCCCGGGTCTGGGTGTGCAAGTGGAGAGCAGCAGGGCGCCCGTCTTGGTGAAGTGCTATGGAGCTCAGCTCTCTCAGCCAGCCCAGCCTGGGTCAGCAAGGAACAGACTCGGGGCCCAGCAGGGCTTCTGGGATGGGGGCAGCCACCAGGATCAGAGCCCCCTTGCCCACTTTTAGTATCTTCTGACACCTCTCTCCATTATTAGCGACTCCTTCTCCAACCTGCTACTTGAAACAAAAATGGAACACTGGTATCAGAAGTCACGCAGCAAGGCTCGCGTCCTGGCACCTCTGAAATTAGAAGTAGGTGACAATGGACCTCAGCTAATCTGCTCTAAAGACAGCTTTTCTTTAATCATGTATATTTCCAATGGGCGTTCCTTCCCACAGTTTCTTCCCAGGCAGCTCTGAGAGTTTGGTAATCATGTCCCTTTGAACGTGCAGCCCCTAGAGGTTAAGCAATTTGCCCAACTCCACTGAGTGAGTCCAATCAAGAACTGAGGTCTTCAAAACGATTCTGTTATGTGCATGTGGTGAAGGTAGTGGATAAGAGTACAAAATACTCTGTAATTAATGCATATCTCAACCAATTGTCTCGGACAGTAAAGGATCTGCCTGCAGTGCGGGAGACCTGGATTCGATCCCTGGGTCAGGAAGATCCCCTGGAGAAGGAAATGGCAACCCACTCCAGTATCCTTGCCTGGAAAGTTCCATGGACTGAGGAGCCTGGCAGCTACATACACTCCATGGGGTCTCAAAGAGTCAGACAGACTGAGCGACTTAACTAACCAATTGGGTTAAAAGATGATTACAATGACCAGTTCAGGAAACACTTTTATTATTTCAATTGACAATTGAATTAGATCTATTCAGTAATTACCTAATCAATTGGCCATTTGGTTTGAGTTATATTGATAGGCATTATTTTAATAGCACATTACTAGTTCTTTTTCCAGGATATAATTTCCTGGTGGCAAAGACGGTACAGAATATGCCTGCAATGCAGGAGACCCAGGTTCAACCCCCTGGGTCAAGAAGATCCCCTAGAGAAGAAAATGACTACCTACTCCAGTATTCTTGCTTGGAGAATTTTTTGGGCAGAGGAGCCTGGCGGGCTAGAGTCCATAGGGTCACAAAGAGTTGGACACGACTGAGCGACTAACAATTTCTCACACTTTTTGTATCGAAAACATTTGTGTGCTAATATCCAAGAAATGAATTTGTGATTAAAAAAAAAAGAATTGAGGTCTTCACTGCTTAACACATCCAGCTGAATAAGAAACCTCTTGAACATAGCAACCAGTTGTTGGTCTTAAAAAGCTAGAAGCTAAATTTCAGGGGAACCAGAATGAAGAGTGGCTGTAGTATCGCACTGGTTCAACTAGACACAGACGAGCCCTCGCTACGTCATTTGTAAACAGTGTCAAAGATGGTGGTTCTCTGCTTTGAGACCCGGTGCCTCGGTCCCACCCTGTGGCCTTGGCACTGGGGTTTCTTAAACTCCCAGGTGACGCCAGTGCGCAGGCAGAGCTGGGAAACACTGCTGTGAGTATTAAGATCATCCATGTACATCTTCCAGGTTCCCTTTCCTGTCTCTCATGCCACTGATTACGAAAAGCTTTGTCATCTCTAAAGAGTGAGTAGTAAGAATCATCCACGTGCAAAATCTGGCATCTCATATGCCCACCACGATACCCCTGGGGTCCCAAGTCACTCCTGTTCAATTTAACTCAAGACTTGGTGCTTCCAAAAGGACTACAGATGGAGTCCAGCATCCATAGATCACCCACCTGTCATGTGGCTCTAGAACCGGGAACCACAGGTTGTTAAAAGGCCTTATAGATCTGTGTCATCTTGTTTAGTCAGCGTTCCATAAACAAGTTCTTGATAAACTATTAATCTGTACTCTTTACAGCAAAATAAATGCTTAATGAATACTCAGATTCTTTAGCAAGGCTTCCCAGGTGGCACAGTGGTAAAAAAAATCTGCCTGCTAATACAGGAAACGCAAGAGACGAAGGTTCAATCCTTGAATTGGGAATATCCCCTGGAGTAGGAGATGGCAACCAGTATTGCCATACTGGAGATGGCACACGCTCCAGTATTCTTATCTGGTAAATCCCATGGACAGAGGAGCCGGGAGGGCTACAGTCCATGAGGTCACGAAGAGTCAGACAAGACTAACAGCTGAGCACTTCTACTACTATAGATTCTTTGGCAGTTAAGCGCTGAACTGGAGAGTTCCCTGGCAGTCCAGTGGATAAGACTCTTTGCTTCCACTGCAGGAGGGCAGGTTTGATCCTTGGTGGGGGAACTAAGGTCCCACAGGCCACGAGATGTGGCCAAAAAAAAAGCAAGACTATCCTATTCCTATCGACTTAAAAAGCAGAAGCACTCTCCTCACTTCCACTGTTAACACAGTCTTTCCTGTAGGAATTAGATTTCTGATCCTGAGGTTTCAATCCTGGCAGCTCCTTAAAATCACCTGGGATACTTTATTATTTTTATGTATTTATTTATTTTTGGTTACCCTGGGTCTTTGTTGCTGTGCGTGGACTTTCTTAAGTTGTGGCAAGTGGGGGCTACTCTCGAGTGCTTGGGCGTCTCATTGCAGTGGCTTCTCTTGTTGTAGAGCATGGGCTTTAGGCGCACAGGCCTCAGTAGTTACAGTACGTGGGTTTAGTAGTTGTGGCACACCAGCTTAGTTGCCCTGTGGCATGTGGGATCTTCCCAGACCAGGGATCGAACCCACATCCCCTGCACTGGCAGGTGGATTCTTATCTACTGTACCACCAGGGAAATGCTGGAATGCTTTTTAAAAGTGCCATACCTGGGCCCCACCCTGAGCCATTCTGATTCACTTGGTCTGGAGAGGGACTCTGGTGATGTTGGTAATTTTTTTTAATCTAAAAATTAACTATCACAATGATTCTAATGAACAGCCAAGTTTAAGAAAGCAGATCTCACATTCAATTTTTCAGCAATCACTGGCATTGCCTGGATTTCTCTAAACTCCATGGTTAGAAGGGCATGACCTTAAATTTTAATCAGACTCTTTTCTGTTTTATTGACGTTTTTCACTTTGTGGATTTGAGATTCTGGTCTATGATCTGACACTGTCTCGTTCCCCAGTGGGGTGATGTTTGAATTCCAGTGAAAACTTATCCCTGGGGGTTGGGGGAAATGCTTTCAAAGCAAGTAAAAATACAGGGTTACAAGTGAAAATACAAATTACATTTTGACTTGACATAACCAAGAAGTCCACAGGCAGATTTTAACAGGCAACTAGTTGAATTTAAGAAGAAGGATACTAAAGTTGCACCCAAGATCAACCTTTAAAATATAAAAGACTTGACAGTATAAATAACTATAACTTTAATCATGTTTGTTTTTAAAGCTAATTGGAACTGATAAATATGCTGTTATAGCCCTTCTCCTGGAGTAGGAAATGGCAGCCTGCACCAGTATTCTGTCCTAGAGCATTCTCCGGACAGAGGAGCCTAGCAGGCTACAATCCATGAGGTGGCAAAGAGTCAGACACGACTGAGCACACACACATAGTCCTACTACCCATTGTGATATACCAGAAAGCAAGTATATATGTTCAATTCTGTTCATCCTGATTGATCCTAGGTCTTTGCAGGGTGTGGAGCATCCGTTGAGCTAAAAAATTGCCTCTGTGCTTCTTGAGGGGATTTCCCCCCCACCATCCTTGTTCAGTAAAGTCATGTCCAGGGTCTTCACATATAGCCGCACAGGTTGTGCACTGAACAACTTGAGGGGTAGCACTCATACCATGGTGTTTATGAGTGGCAACCCCTTTGGTTGGGTATCACTTGAGTAAAAGCACCTGCTGTCACTTCACTCAACTTTTTCTGTAAACAAAATAAATGCTAAGTTGGATGTCTTGAGTTCTGACCCAGGCAACAGCTGGACAAGATCTATTCAGGGTAGAGGACTGAGTTCTCCAATTCAGAGACCAAGGTGATTATTTGCAAGTATCTTTATTCCTATCACTTTTACCAGGGGTTCTTAGCTAGCGACATCACTAGAAAACCTTGTTCAAGAACAAAAAATCCCTTTTGGTTAGAGTAGTGGAAAGCGGACTCTGAGTCCCTACTCAGTGATGACCTGTGAGCCCTTGGCTGGGGAGGCACAAATGGTAATGAGATGCTGAGATCCAGTGTCTCTCTCCCTCCATGTATAACAGAGGCCTGACTTTCATCCTCATGGTCTAATTCTCTCCTCCATCTCCTCCAGTCTGTCTCCCCTTCTTACCAGCATGGGCAGGTCATTTCATTTATTTTCTTATCTATAATATAACACAATGACATCCATGCTAGAGGAACACTGGAGGATAAGAGGTTGTGAGATATGGTGTCTGGCTCAGAGAAGATTCTTGGGAGATAATGGCTCCCTCTCTTTCCTCTCTTCCTTCACATAGTCTGCCCAAAGCCCTTCCCATTCTCCATCTGCTGTCACCTTGTCTGGTGTCCCCAGAGTACAGCAGGGCCCAGCCCAACTGTTCTCATGGTTCCAGAAGACAAGCAATGTTCTAACTGCCTTCACTGAAAGAGGTGGGGCGAATCAGGGCCAGAATGGCTCTCCTAATCAGAGGAAGAGAAGAGGCACGACAGGCCTGAGTGACCAAAGAGAAGGCCCCACCTAGGATGTCCCACCCTCTCCATCCTGCTGACGGCCTAAGTTGCTCCAGTGCCGCTCACAGGCTCTCAGGTCTTCAGGATTGCGGCCCTGCCTTCCCTCTTTATCTGTGAACCTTGGGTGCTGTATGAAACAGCTTCTGAGCCCAGGAAACTAGTTCCTTGAGTTTCAGTCCCTGCAGCCTTCTCAGATTCTGTGCCCTGGCCAAACATAACAAACGAAAACGCACTGTCCCGGGGCTCAGGCCACCTGAGGGGGGCAAGTGATGTAAAATAAGCCTCTGGGACCACTGGAGACCACTGGGCCTGACCTCCCTTGGGCCTCTGTCCTCCCACCCTCTCCCCAGTGGGTTGGCCAGAGGCCCCAGGGTTGATGTCTAGCTCTTCTTCCCAAGGGCCACTCCCGCCCCTGCTCTGTACAACTGCTTTAGCGCCTACATTTGCTTAATATCCCCTTGCCCAGTGCTTCCCATCTCCCATAATGACGCTAATGGACCAAAAGACAACAGTAGAAGCAAAAGAGCCTCCCCCAGCTTCTGCCCAGCCCACCGGCCTGACCTACTGCTGCTACTGCTGCTGCTGAGAATCCTGGTGCATGCTGGGAATCCAAGTGCATGCTGGGATTTCAGCCCGTTCCTCCATGCATTTTGGTTTTTCTTGGAACAGTTTCAAAATTGGAACTGTTGGTTTCTAGCCCATGGTGTACAACTCCCTGAAATGAAGTCAAGAACTTCATGGGAAGAGGGACCTCCCTGAGGACTTGAGATTCTCAGGGCCTCTCATGGCACAAAACCAGCTAAGGTCTAGATAACATCAGTGTCACACTAATGAAGAGGATCCAGAAGAAAGTGCTTTCATCTTCTCAGAGGACTGACTTTAATGGTCTAGTCTGTTCTCAAGAAGTAAGAACTAAGTCCTGGAACGTATTTAGAAAGGTGCCTACGTGGAGACCACCCATCGACACATCAGGTCCTGAAGTTTGTATGAACATAGCTGTACACATCATGCTGACTTATAAGACAGTGGAATCTATTCATTCCAGAATTGTATGAATCTCCTGGGAAGAGGAGCTTCCAATACCTTTTGTCATGTTCTCAGAGGAAGGAACCCAGCAGGTGCCTTTGAAGAACGAATACGAAAAGAGTAGAAGGATCTTCTAGGTCTCTGGCTTCTCTGAAAGATACAGAAAGACTATATTAGGAGTTTCAGTTCTCATCTTGGCTAATGGATGAAAATTTGAGGCAAAGGCCAATGACTTATAAGTCCCACAAAGATGGATCACAAAGTACATCTTGGACCAGAAGAACAGAAGGAGAGAAGAGTCTTCTGGGGAACGAAGCTGATGGAGACCTGCCAGTATCCCAGGCTGGTGCTGGTGGGTGGCCACTTACTAAGTGCCTCGCCAGCTCCCAACACTGGTCTCCCACTGGCCAGGATGCAACCCTCCTAAAAATCGTGATTCACTGGAGATGTCCCTGTTCTGAGGCCTTTGGCTGAAAGAGAAGATTACATGAGGAGATATTAGACTGAATTTCTGTTCCATCCCCCCAAGATAACAAAGTTGCCTTCATCTTTATAAGATACTCTCGACTTTTATTTACTGATGACAAAGAAGGTTCTGCAACAAAAAAAAAAAAAAAAAAAAATCTTGTGTGAATATTCCACGCTGCCATTTTCTCATGAACCTGTGCCCTGCAAACCACTTCTAGCTTGTTTGTTCTAGTACTGCATGGCCTTGTCCTCTTTCCTTGGTTCAAAATGACAGAAGAAGTTAGGAAAAGAAAGAGCTCTTACTAAGCTTCCAGCATTTGAATTCTAGCGTCCTCGCTCACTGCCATGTTGAGAGCCAATTCAGACCCCAAGGCCGCTTGAAATATTCACAAGAGAAGACACGTGGGGGAACTCCAAGCTCACTCTCACAATAGGCCTTTGCCTTCAGAAGCCCCAGATCTCTTCACCCGCTGGGAAACCTGGCTCCAGTGCCCCAAGCTTGCCAGTCAAGAATCACACACATGCGAGAAAACCCTTGTTGGATCTTTGGCTCAGTGCTCCAAGATGGTGGCAGCAGCAGCAGCAGCAACAGTTCTTAGGAAATCCAGGGCTGTGGAGAACTGCAGGGCTGGCCACCCATAAAGAAGCTGCAATGCAATTGAGAAGCTGGAGTTGCGGGCAGGAGTCCTAATGGTGGCCCTTGGTTTCTTGCAGACATTGACGAGTGCCTCTCAAGCCCTTGTCTGAATGGAGCCACCTGCGTGGACGCCATCGACTCTTTCACATGCTTATGCCTTCCCAGCTACCAAGGGGACGTGTGTGAGATTGGTACGGCCGTCTCGGCTTCAGCTAATGTTACTAACTGCTGCACCCACTCTGCCTCCCTCACCCTTCCCTGCTAACCACAGGTTCTAGGCCCTGGCTGGACCCCCCACCCAAGATCCATCCAGGCAGCCACTTCTGGGGTCACAACTGAGAAGTCAGCCTCCCTCACTCTCACTCCTTCTCTTGCTGTTCCCTGCGGAAACCCTCCTCTGGTTCACTGGCTGACCTGACCGCAGAAGAGCCAGGCAAGCCGGGCCAATCTGCGTTTTGGAAGGTGGGGCTCTGGGGGAAACTTTCAAATACTAACCTTCTCCAGGGCTGCCAGATGCCACCAGCAAAGTTGGTGCCTGCATCAGACTAAGAAGACAGAGCCGATTCCATGCATTTGTCTTGAAGGAAACTATGGGTGGGAGTCATTGGTCCTTGCTCTGGGTGATGGCCATGGATCCTCCCAACATGCCCATGGGCTTGTGTCTGCCTGCCTTATTGCCTACAGGACCTTAGTGGCCCCTCCATGGCCCGGGGAGCCACCGCACCACACTGGCCAAGCTGACTTCTTCTCTGGCAAGAGCTATGGTCGGCCTGTCTGAGAGCTCCCATGTCACCAGTATGCTCAGGTGACTCATGCACAGGGACTGCTCCGTGTCACCTTGTCATCATTTCCACCATGACAGCTGCCATGTCAATGCCACTCCGGTCTGCACTTCCTTTCTCGCTTCCTTGTGCAAGGCAAAAGGCTGGCCAGGGAGAGCAGAGCCTCGTTGCGTGAGACAGGAGCTGAGCTTCCTGTTCCTTCTTAAACAATTTTCGTGCTTTTTTTTTTTTTGGCCACACCACGCGGCATGTGGAATCTTAGTTCCCGACCAGGGATCAAACCTGTGCCCCCTTCACTGGATGAGCTTCCTCTTGCCAACCCCTCTGCTTCTGCATCTGGGCCAGGACCTGCCAAGGGGAGCTGTGGGCCAGGAACTTCCTGAGGCCAGACTATGCCTGAAGCTCTTTCGTCTTTGGTGTTTCCTAGTCTCCTCATCCTCCTGGGTCTCAGGGCCACCCCATCTCAGAAAAGCTTGCTGTTGCTAGTAGCAATGATCCATGCAGAACTGGAAGTGTTTAGGGGCCAAAGCCATTTACAATGAACCCTCAAGTTGTACATCCCAGAAGCTTTCAGACAGCAGCTGAAACTCCTAATCAGTGTGTTATGATAGTTTTGGAAGGTTTCAGGCTGGTGGAGGAAATTCTGGACAAAAAGGCTTGGCCTGGACCCTCCTTCTCTGCAGCCTCTCATCCTCCACCTTCACCCCAAGGCTCCAAGAAGTTGGTGCAATGGGTCTTGCCTAGGGTGGGAGTGGAGAGTTACAAGGATTTTCTCCCCGTAATGCCAGAATATTTGCCACAGGGAGAAGAGTCTGGAATGTCCACACGGACCACAGGTCTTGGGTGCCAGGCCTGGCAAGGAGGTGCCTGCACAGGGCTCTGCCTTCTGATGCAGCAAAGAGAGGGTGCTGCCAGAGCCCCGGAACTGGGCCCTGGGCCTGGGCACCTAGCTGAGCAGGGCTGCCTATCTTCTCCCATCTAGTACTGAGCATTCACCACCCCCAGTGGATGCTTCCAACCTTCCTATAGCGCTGAGCCTTCTTGTAGCCTTCCTGTTGCTTATTTCCTGTTGCCTCCTGTAGTCTGTTGCTTATTTCCTGAGAGCCTCCATTTTGCAGGACCCTGGCTCCTCCTGGCTCAGCTATTCCCTCCAGCTTTGCCAGCCCAGCTCAGCCCTCAGGCCCCAGTTGACCCCACAAGTCAGCCCTGGGATGATGTCTATGGCTTCCTCAGGTGCTCAGTTATCTCTGAAGCCTCTCTGCCTTTCTTTCCAAACCCTTTGGGGGAAGGTGTTGGCGGCAGGGGCACCAGCAACCTCCTCCTAAGCGCTTCCTGCTGCTCTGCCTCCCTCTTCAAAGACCACTGGCCACGAACTCTTCTCTCTGTGTCTGTCTTCCAACCCTGCCAAGCAGTAGTGATCCTTACTTCCTAGAACTGCCCAACCAGAAGGCTGCCACACAGCCTGAGGGGTTCATGGCCCCACACTCAGCTCCAGGGCCCTAGGGACAGTCCTTCACCTGTGAGACACCAGGGGAAGAAAGAAGAGAGGGTCTTGGAATTCCTTCTGTCCAGTGCTGTGCTGGTAGAACAACTGACTCTCAAAGATTATGTGTAGCACCTGCCAGTTTCTGAGATTCAACACTCCCACGAGGGCCAGGGCAGCTACCAATGTCATACCACTAAAGGCCGAGTTGGGGGGCTTCCATAATGGTCCAGTGGTTAAGACTCCCTGCTTCTACTGCAGGGGACATGGGTTTGATCCCTGGTCAGGGAACTAAGATCCCGCATGCCTCATGGAGTGGCAATAAATAAACAAATAAAAATAAAGGCCAAGTTGGGAAGACACACGCCAGCTCTAGCACACCCCTGCCTCTGTCTGTCCTTCTAGATGGTTCCAAGAGCTCCAACTCAGTGCTTTCTCCTGAACTCAGAACCTGTTATCAATATAGATTTAGGGGGAGAGAAGTCCCTCTTCTCATCCGCCACCAAGAAATAACATGAAGAACCAGGGTCTCTGGGTCATGGACCCCAAGCCAGTATTGTGTGCTCTGCTAGAGCCAACTCTGATCAAAAGACTGAGAGGTCCGTGTCTTCTTTGGACCAAAGCGGACTTGGTTCTCCTCCTCTGTCCCCACCCAAGCTTCCATTCCACGCCCCCAGCACTGCCTGCTCCTGCCACCTGCACACACTCCCCCGCCGCCCCCTCTCTCCCTGAAGCCCCTCAGAGTCTCCTTAAGTTGTCCTTAAGTCTCAATACCTCCTACCTTCCCCCCTCTTTTTACCTGGCCTGCTGAGTTCTGCCAGTCCTGCCAAGCAGGCATCAACAGGAGAAAAGCTTCGGGGATGGGAGGCGATATCAGAAAAAGAGAGGGTCCCTGGCATTTCCCAGAGGCCTCTGGGGGATGAGGGGCGGGACCAGGCCTCCTGGCTTCCCACTTGAGCCTCCATCCAGTGGGGCCTCTCCCTGCCTTTCGTGGTGTGACGCAGAAGGCAGGGTGAACACAGGAATCCACCACCCCTAGTCGGCCCCCCGGCCCTCTCCTCAAGCCCCTGCCCTGTATTGCAGACCAGAAGCTGTGCGAGGAGGGCTGGACTAAGTTCCAGGGCCACTGTTACCGCCACTTCCCCGACCGGGCAACCTGGGTGGACGCCGAGAGCCAGTGCCGGAAGCAGCAGTCACACCTCAGCAGCATCGTCACCCCCGAGGAGCAGGAGTTTGTCAACAGTGAGTGCGGTGGGGCCTTAATGGCCCAAGAGGGGAATGGCCACGCAAGCCAAGGGCCTCCCTGGCCGGCAGTCAGTGGACTTGGGAGGGAGGGAAAGGGGTCATTTCCACAGGATGAGGGGCCAGCGGCTCTGACTGTACCCAGGACAGCCCACGGTCTGTCAGAGTCAGCCTCAGGCTAACCCTGTCATCAGTCTACATCAGCTCAGGGAGGTGGGCCCAAGTGCAACGCAAACATGCACATATCAAGAGCCTTTTCAGGACCCCAGAGGCAGGTGGCATGCTCCTAAGCACCCACTCAGCTCCTGCCACCCCTCCGTCCCCTCTGTCTCGATGATGAAGTTTCTCCCAGATACCTTCAGGTGCCCAATACCCACGTCCTTTCTCCAGACAATGCCCAGGACTACCAGTGGATCGGCCTGAATGACAAGACCATCGAAGGGGACTTCCGCTGGTCAGATGGACACTCCTTGGTGAGTTCTGCTGGGGGCACCCAGGATAGTTGGTGGCCCAGAGAGGATGAAGGAAGAACCCCAGAGACAGACACGTTCAAATCACATGCAAACATTCACTGAGCAGGTGCTAGACCAGGAGTCCTGAAATCAGGATTGTGTCTTGTTCGTCTCACCTTTAGAGACTAGCCCAAGGCTGGACACCTGAATAATAACATGAAGGGAAGGGTGGGGATGAGGAAGGCAATGAATGAATGAGGGCAAATCACCAAAAGGGTATGTATGCATGCATGCATACATGCTCAGTCGCTTCAATTGTCTCTGACTCCTTGTGGCCCTATGGACTGTAGCCTGCCAGGCTCCTCTGTCCATGGGATTTTCTAGGCAAGAATGTTGGAATGGATTGCCATACTCTCCTCTAGGAGGTCTTCCCAACCCAGGAATCAAACCCATGTCTCCTGCATTGGCAGGCAGATTCTTTACCCACTGAGCCACCTGAGAAGTCCCCAAGAGGAAGGTTTAGAGAGGTTTCTTGCCGACAGAGCACTAGAGTCCACACAAGGAGGTAGAAAGACAGATAGAAAGCAACACAGATGCCAGTTGAATAGTATACATAGTAAATAATGAAGATCAGCAAAGGACCTCAGGGAAGACTTCCTAGAAGAGGCAAATGTGAATAGGGTCATGGCTGTTATGGTCATGGGGAAGAGGAGCAGCTACATCAGAGGAAAGGGGCCTCGTTTGTCTGCAGTCAGGCTAAAGGGAGAAGCCTGGAAAGGCAGAGTCTGAACATGGGAACAGTAGCTCTACCACCCAGTCCTGCCCAAGCCTGGCAGCCTGGTGACCATCCCCACTGGCCCATATGGATGAGGAGATTGGCATCAGCTCATTAACAGGGACTGTGAACCCGGGGTCTTCTGAGTTCCTGACAATGAACCATAGCCTGGCGGTGTGATCAAATTCTTTGGAGGGCCCGTGAGTCCCATGGCACCAACAGACCCCCGGCAGTCTTTGCACCATGGCCAGGAAGGGGCTGGACAGGGAGTGAAAGCAGGGGTTAGGCAGGCTGTCCCACTCCTGCCCTCTGCTCACCCCTTCCCCAATCCCACCCACAGCAATTTGAGAACTGGCGCCCCAACCAGCCTGACAACTTCTTTGCCACTGGGGAGGACTGCGTGGTGATGATCTGGCATGAGAAGGGCGAGTGGAACGATGTCCCATGCAATTACCAGCTGCCCTTCACCTGTAAAAAGGGCACAGGTAAGTGGCAGCATGGGAGGGGTCCCACGAGGACAGACTCAAGACCCCAGGTTCCTGCGGTGAGACCTGGGCCACATCACCTGGACTTCTGGCTGCTGGCATCACTCACCTGCCCAACTAGCAGACTGGAGCTGACCTGGGGGGCAGAGGCCTTGCCCCATGCCAGCATCCCAGAACCAAGGGAAAGGCTGACCCACTAGGGACAGGGAGAGGATGAAGGTCACAGGCTAGAGGACAGAGCCCCCTGCACACACAGTACCCTGGGTATCAGCACAGAAAGTCACCCACAGTTGCACATGAGTTGGCAGCCTCCCTCTCTAGGATCCCAAGTCCATCAGTCACACGAGTTGGAGTTGTCAGGCCTTGATCCTTGGCTTTGAGTCTGCAGACTTGGAGGTGTGGCTAGGACACTCACCAGCTGTTCCTGCTCCTGGCCTCGTGCCCCTCCCCCCGCCCCCCAGCCTCCTGTGGTTTCTCCTTCCCCTGCACCGCCGTTTTCTTTTTTTTTTTTTTTAGGTGCTATCTTTTTTTTTTTTCATTTATTTTTATTAGTTGGAAGCTAATTACTTTACAATATTGTAGTGGGTTTTGCCATACATTGACATGAATCAGCCATGGATTTACATGTGTTCCCCATCCCAATCCCCCCTCCCACCTCCCTCTCCACCCCATCCCTCTGGGTCTTCCCAGTGCACCAGGCCCGAGCACTTGTCTCATGCATCCAACCTGGGCTGGTGATCTGTTTCACCCTAGATAATATACATATTTCGATGCTGTTCTTTCTAAACATCCCACCCTCGCCTTCTCCCACAGAGTCCAGAAGTCTGTTCTGTACATCTGTGTCTCTTTTTCTGTTTTGCATATAGGGTTATCGTTACCATCTTTCTAAATTCCATATATTTGTGTTAGTATACTGTATTGGTCTTTATCTTTCTGGCTTACTTCACTCTGTATAATGGGCTCCAGTTTCATCCATCTCATTAGAACTGATTCAAATGAATTCTTTTTAATGGCTGAGTAATATTCCATGGTGTATATATACCACAGTTTCCTTATCCATTCGTCTGCTGATGAATATACAATGGAAAAAAGACAACCTCTTTAACAAGTGGTGCTGGGAAACTGGTCAACCACTTGTAAAAGAATGAAACTAGAACACTTTCTAACACCATACACAAAAATAAACTCAAAATGCATTAAAGATCTAAATGTAAGACCAGAAACTGTAAAACTCCTAGAGGAGAACATAAGCCAAACACTCTGACATAAATCACAGCAGGATCCTCTATGACCCACCTCCCAGAATATTGGAAATAAAAGCAAAAATAAACAAATGGGACCTAATGAAACTTAAAAGCTTTTGCACAACAAAGGAAACTATAAGCAAGGTGAAAAGACAGCCCTCAGATTGGGAGAAAGTAATAGCAAATGAAGCAACAGACAAAGGATTAATCTCAAAAATATACAAGCAACTCCTCCAGCTCAACTCCAGAAAAATAAATGACCCAATCAAAAAATGGGCCAAAGAACTAAACAGACATTTCTCCAAGGAAGACATACAGATGGCTAACAAACACATGAAAAGATGCTCAACATCACTCATTACAAGAGAAATGCAAATCAAAACCACAATGAGGTACCATTACATGCCAGTCAGGATGGCTGCTATCCAAAAGTCTACAAGTAATAAATGCTGGAGAGGGTGTGGAGAAAAGGGAACCCTCTTACACTGTTGGTGGGAATGCAAACTAGTACAGCCGCTATGGAGAACAGTGTGGAGATTTCTTAAAAAAATAGAAATAGAACTGCCATATGACCCAGAAATCCCACCCCTGGGCATACACACTGAGGAAACCAGATCTGAAAGAGACACATGCACCCCAGTGTTCATTGCAGCACTGTTTATAATAGCCAGGACATGGAAGCAACCTAGATGTCCATCTGCACTGCCGTTTTCATAGCCCGTTATCACAGCGAAGTCATAGCCAGTCTGCCTGGCCCTCACTCTCTTTCCCAACCCTTCATCCTTTTATTCCCTTCCTGATGCTCTAAATCATTGAGGAGCCCAGATGTCAGAACCAGTGGCTTCCAGATTCTCAGTGCAGAGTGAAAGTGCCCCCCCACCCCACAGGCGGGGCTCATGGCTGGGTGTCAAGGCTGCCCGCCCCTTCCTTTGACTCTGAGCTGGCTCCCCACAGCCAGGGGGACCACACCAGCTCATCACAGGGCATCAGGGGAGACCCTCTGAGAGCCCTTTCTGAAGGATGTTTACCCCTCAGTGGCCTGCGGAGAGCCCCCCGTGGTGGAGCACGCCAGAATCTTCGGACAGAAGAAGGACCGGTACGAGATCAATGCCCTGGTGCGGTACCAGTGCACCGAGGGCTTCATCCAGCGCCACGTGCCCACCATCCGGTGCCAGCCCAGCGGGCACTGGGAGGAGCCTCGGATCACCTGCACAGACCGTGAGCATCACCCCGCACAGCGTTAGATCCGGCCAACACATCCTCCTCCCTATCCCCCACTGCCAACACCATTGAGGGCTCTGTCACAGATGTCCCCTGCCCCCCGGGAGGTTCACTTTCACTGAGAGGGGGAAGGTGAAGGCGAGTGCCCTACTGGCCTTTTCAACACCTGCCCAAAGCCCCCTGTTATCAGTCGCTCAGTCGTATCCGACTCTTTGTGACTCCATGGACTGTAGCCCACCAGGTTCCTCTGTCCATAGGATTTTCCAGGCAAGAATACTGGAGTGGGTTGCCATTTCCTACTCCAGTATTCTAGCCTGAAGCCCTTTAGCCCAAGGTGGTTCCAAGAAAAATCAAAACCAAGAAACAGCTAAAACCTCAGGCTGCCTTCATGAGCCCATGGTTTCTACAGGGAGGGGATCGGCGGAGAAGGATTGGGGGAGGCTGGGCTGGCCTGCTTTCTTCCCAGGGTTCACCCAGATTTTTCAATTTCCCTTGCACCCCAGCCGCCACCTACAAGCGCAAACTACAGAAGCGGAGCTCACGGCCCCTGAGGAGGAGCCGCCCCAGCACGGCCCACTGAGAGGAGCTTCCCGGACGTGCCCAGGACGCTGAGCCCAGAAGCCTGGCCAGGCTGACACCCCATCCGGATGGTGTCCTCTCCTTGTCGCTTTCTGTCATATAAGGAATTCCATTAAAGAAGAAAAAAAAATAAACCCCACATTGTGTATGCACCCGCCCACCCCCACCCCCCAAATCGCCAAATCTGCATCTAATTTTCCCCCCAAATGCCAAAGCAAAGCAAACATATGGTAACCCGTGGACTGGAGTTTAGAGACGTTCCTTCCATCTCCCGCTGTGCCTTTCCAGGGACCAGCACAGGACAGGGGGAGAAGGGAAGGGGTTAAGTTAAATAAAGAAGATTATTTTTTGTTTCCTGACTTTATCCAAGAGCAGTGCAATCGTTGGTTCTTTCACCTCCAGGGAGAGCTAGGGAGGAGGGAGGAGGGGCAGAGAGACACGAGGGCTGAAGAACTCTGGAACCGCAGCTGAATGTATTGGATAAGATGGAGTTCATCTGTGTCGGGGAGAAGCCCAGGGGAGAGGGGGCGGCTTCCAGCCCACTGGGAGAGCGAGCCATCAAGGGATCTTCGAAGCATGGGGGTCGGGTTCCCTCCAAGGGTCCCTCCTCCAGAGTCCTCTCACCTGGGTCTGCCACCCGAGCAGGTGTCCATCTCGGCAGGGCTGGGTCGGGGGGCACTTCCTTCCTGGTGGGAGTGTCACCCACCCCTCCCCCCACCTTTCCCCACCCCCGGGACCGTGCAGGCACCAGGGTTCCGTGCACCTATTTATATTTTTGAAAAGTAAAGATTATGATAATTATAATAATAAAGACATTGGAAGAGATCTATTTCTTTTCTTTTCCCTTCTTTTTTCTTAATTTAAAGAGAAGGCAATCATGGTCCAGGGTCTACTGAGAAGTTTCTTAGGAATGGGGGCTGTAGGGACACATTTTGATCAAATGACTCTAAATTTGTGCGAATCCTGTTTGATCGGAAGGCCTGGGACAGTCACGCCTGTGGTGCTCTATTCTTACATGAGCTCCTCTCTGTGTATGTGTGTGTGCGTGTGTGTGTGTGTGTGTGTGTGTGTGTGTGTGACAGCCAAGAGGTGCTGTATATGGATCTGTGAGTTGGCACGCTGTCAGAGAGTAACTCAAGTCAGACTTCTGGCCACTCTCCATAGTTTGGTCCTTTGATTTACACTGTTTGCTCACACAAGAGCAGTCGATTTATAGAGTGAGTCCAAGAACAGAGGCAAAATCAAAATTTATAAGAGGGAAGAAAAAAACTGCAGACAGGCTGGGAATGGTGAATCTTGTTTATACATTTTTGGGGTCAAATGGGTTAGCTAGCCACTAGCACAAAGGTCTGGGCATCCTGCCCGTAAATAGGCTGTAGGTTATCAATGAAAACGCTTTCAATTGTTTATGGATCTCCTCCAACAGACCTTGAGTGGAGCTGGGGTGTATGTGCCAGACAGTTACCATCTGCCAGCCTCCTCCCTGGAAGGTCAGGTTAGTGCCACTCCCTCATCACACTTGCTCAATGGGCACTGATTGTGTGTGAAAGTGTCTGATGTTGACTGTAGACGGTAGAGTCACCCTGCAATGCAGGAGGCCCAGGTTCGATGCCTGGGCTGGGAAGATCCCCTGGAGAAGGGAATGGCAACCCACCCCAGTATTCTTGCCTGGAGAATTCCATGGACAGAGGAGCCTGGTGGGCTACGGTCCATGGGGTCACAAAGAGTCAGACACAACTGAGGGACTAACACTGGTGTTGGTTAGCATGTGCCAGTATGAGTCTACTGATGTCTCTTCAGATGTGTACTTGTGTGGTTGAGTGTTTGATGGTGAGCATTTTTGTGTGCCCAGGTTACCTACAGCTCTGGAAAGGATCCGTGGACAAAAGTAGAAGATGCAGCAATGTTCACAGAGTAGGAACTCAAAAATTATGCCATTTATTGATTAAGTAACTGATTCATTGGGAACACACCTATGTCACTGGTTTTCAACATTGAGTCTGCATCAAGAGGGCTTGTGAGAGACCCCACTCCAGAGTTTTTGACTGAGTGGGTCTGGGGTCAGGTGCAGAAAGGTGCATCTCAAACACATTCCCAGGTGAAGCTGGTGGTGCCGGCCACACTTGGAGAAGCACCTTGCTATGTAAAGGATCGACTGTGGGTGGCAGAGGTGTGCCTGTGCAGAGGCAAGAGAGCTGGTTTCTTAAGGCTGACATGGGGGTGGGGACCAGAGTGAGGAACACAGAGGGCTGGTCCCCAGTATCTCTGCAGGGCACAGCCTCCTCTGGCCTCCCACTCTTAACGCTGGGTCCTCACAGACACACAGCCCAGAGTGGGACGGTGGGAGAACACGCCGGGGCCTCCAGCTGCTAGGTCAGTCCCCGAGGCAGGGTACACCCAGGGCAGGCCAGGCCAGACCAAGGCAGCCTGAAGGTGCAGCCCATGGCGTTCCCTGCCCACCCCAGTGGACAGACCCAGGCGACCTCACGTCTAGGACAGAACCGTCCCCCATGCAGGGAGCTGGACCCTAAGACTGAATGAGATAAAGATGAGACACTCGGACTTCCCTGGTGGAGACTCTGCACTCCCAATGCAGGGAGTAAGGGTTCGATCCCTGGTCAGGGAACTAGATCCCACACGCTGCAACTAAAGGTTTGCCTGCTGCAATGCAGATCGAAAATCCCACATGTCACAACTAAGACCTGGGGCAGCCAAATAAGTAAAGAAGCAAATATTTTAAAAAAAAAGAGCGAGACACGGAGGAAGGCTCAGGATGGAGGGAGGGGTCACAGCACCATTTATTGTCCAAAATAGTACACAGACCCGAGGGCCACTCACCAAACAGGGGAAAATGAGAACAAAACACGGACTCTTTGGAGCCAAAAGAGAAGGAAAATATGGGGAGGGAACTCTCTTCCTTCCCTGGGACGTCACATGGAAGCCCAGGGACCCGCTTCCTGCCCAGGCTCCTCTGTCGTGCTGACATGGGCCAGCTGCTCCCCAAAGAAGTACGAGGGGCAGGAGACAACCAGGCCCGAACCCCAGCTCCAGAGCCCCCCGGCTGCCCTCTCATCCCCAGGCAGAGGCAGAGGACAGGTCGCAGCCCTGGCTCCTCTGGGAGCCCCTGCAACTGCCGGCTCTGAGAGCAGCCTCCCCAGGGCCAGGAGAGGGGATGGACTCAGCGATGGCAGAGAGCTCTCATGAGCCCAAGGACCTCAAACGTCCCGGAGGAGCCAGGCAGGAGGATTCAGGGAGGGTGAGAGCCTTTGGGTGTCCACCTGAGTAAAGGGATGATTTGGGATCTATGGGATTTACCCAAAAAATAATATTTAAAAAAATTTTAAGTTGGAAAGTATAAAACCAAGATGAAAATTGCCCCAACCTGCAAGAGAAAATGAACTACTCAATAAATACAGCCCGCAAGGGGAGGGGGCAGGGGCGGGAACAGAGCTGAGACCCTGGCGCTAGCGCGGCCTGTAGCAATAGACACCATACTTGCGGCTGTGTGGGTCTGGGAAGCCAAAGCTTCGGACCCCAGGCTCCAGTGTCCCACAGTTGGAACGTGGGTGAGCCACAGGGTAGCGGGCACTGCCGTCTGCCAGCCAGCCAGCATCGCAGCGGTCCAGGCCACGGAACTTCCAGGCGGCAAAGAGCTGGCCCACCTTCGCGATCTGAGCGCCGTCTTCCCGGCAGGCCTCCCTTGCCTCTGTCAGCGTCAGCTTCTCAGGGTGCTCCAGGTAGTACACCTGCCCTGTGGGATGCGGGGCGTGAGGATGGAGAAGTGGAGGGTGCAGCCAGAGAGGGCCTGGGGCAAGGCCAGCCCATACAGACCCCACCACCCAGCCCCCAAAGACCTGTTAACTCTCTGCGCTTAGGGAGCTGCCACGCTATGGAGCATCTGCAGTGGAGACTGTCAGGGGCACCTTCCCAAATCTCAGCCCCTCTCCAAAAGCATCATCCCACATGCCATGGGCCTGGGTTCCCCACAGTCAGATCTGTACTCTGCCCCAGCCTTTCCTAATTTTACTCTAGGAGGGCACCCCACCTCTGCTGGACCAATAGAGTCTCCTCTGCTCAGCCATTTACTGAGCACCTACTATGTCCCAAGCTGGGATATGGCACTGAACCAATTTGTTTTTATTCATGTATCTTCCCATGAAGTGAGCTCCTTTGTGAGGGCAGACTGTGTTTTCTCTGTCTATGATGACCCAGCACCTAGTAGGCACTCAGGGAATGTTGGGTGAATGACTAAACTGATGATCGGTGTGAAGCAGCAGCATCAAGGCACTCAGCTGGACAAGGCTTCAGCTGGAAGCACCAGCATGGTGGGCCGAGAGGACTGAAGGCCCCCCCAGATGCTGCCCTCCCACCCGCAGGCCCATGCGTGGCCAGTCGACTCACCCCTGAGGGCAACAGCGAAGCAGAAGACGTCGTAGCGGTGCAGGCGGCGGTGGCGCGGGCCATAGCTGCGCACACCGGGGGCCAGGCCCAGGCCTCCACAGGGGTGCCGGGCCTGCGTGATGGGGTACTGCACCGAGGCGTCCTGCAGCCAGCCTGCATTGCACCAGTCCAGGCCCTCCTCCCAGGCCCGGAACAGCTGCTCGAAGGAGGCCACCACCGCGTCCTGCTCCTCACAGGCCTGCTGGGCTTCATGGAAGTTGAACTTGTAGCGCCCTTGGGGGTGCTGGTAAGGAAAGACCACACCTGGGGAGGGCGGAAAAGGGGGCTTGAATGTGTGGGCAGGGCCTGGCGATGGGAGACCCACCTCCACTGAGACAGAGGCTTCCCTCAACACACGCACACACAGTCCCTCAGTAAAGCTCTGCAAACCTGTCATCTCCTGTCCACTGTCCAAGTCCAACGCAGAGCCAATATCTGCTTTACATCTCCCTCCCAGAGCTAGACAGGCACATAGCAACTCTCAGAAATCTACTAACTTGTTAAAGAATGAATGAGTCAGTCAAATAATATCCCCAATTACAGAACAGGATTAATACCTAATCCACAGGGCTGTTCCAAGAACCCCAGTGCCATGCCTGCCGAGTCACTTGGTTGAATCTTTGTGACCCCACGGGCTGCAGCTTGCTGGGCTCCTGCCCATTCTTCCAGGCAAGAATCCTGGAGTGAGCTGCCATTTCCATCTCTAGGGGAGCTTCTCGACCCAGGGATTGAACCTTCGTCCCCTACGTCTCCTACAGTGCAGGAGGATTCTTTACCACTGAGCCACTGAGGAAGCCCATGGTCTCAATTCAGATGTTTAAATCCTAATGCCCAGGAATTCCCCCTGGCGGTCCAGTGGTTAGCAAATGGTGCTTTCACTGCCAGGGCTCAGGATCGATCCCTGGTCAGGGGACTAAGACCCTGCAAGTCTCACAGCGCAGCTAAATAAATAAATCCTAATGCCCAATATGATGGTATTAGGAGATGGCGCCTTTGGGAGGTGATTAGGTCATGAGGGTGGAGTCTTAGTTTTAGTACCCTTTAAAAAGACATGCCAGAGAGTTCCCCCCAAGCTTCTTCCACCATTGTGAGGATACAGAAGTCTGCGACCTGGCACCCTGGTCTGGGACTTCCAGCCTCTAGAACTATGTGAAATGAATTGCTGTTGTTCAGAGATCCCCAAGGCTGTGTCGGTTACTGCATCCTGAGGTAAGACACCAGTGAGGAGGTGCTGCCACCTACAGGAGACAGGCATCGTTGGGCTCTGACTCAGCAGCTGAGACCTCATCGTCTATGTTAACATTAACATGGAAGCTTCAGAGGAGGACGCAAGAAACGTCCCCCATGTGACAGACGACTTTCCGGGGACAAGGAAAGAAGACAGTGAAAGTGTCAGTGACTCAGTCATGTCTGACTGTGACCCTGTGGATAGTAGCCTGCCAGGGTCCTCTGTCCATGGGATTCTCCAGGCAAGAATACAGGAGTGAGGTTGCCATTTCCTTCTCCAGGGGATCTTCCCCACCCAGGAATCAAACCGGGGTCTCCCACACTGCAGGCAAATTCTTCACCGTCTGAGGTGCCAGGGAAGCCCCAGGGGAAGGGGAGGGATGGGAAAAGGTCTTTTACTAAAGGAGGCTCAAGGTCAGGGAGGTCCTGAGCAGGTGGCTTCCCTTCCTGGTGCCACGGTCTGGGAGGTGCCACAGGCGCCCTCAAAATTCCATGTTTGAAACTGGACTGTAATAAGAAATGTTAACTCCCCCGGACCCAGTCTCTACCAAGTCAGATGAAACCTTAAGGAGAAGGGGTGTCCCTGGGGCCTGGGGCCGGCACTGTTCCAAGGCAGGGCCTGGAGTGAGGGTTCCCTGGATTGGGACTGACACAAACACATTGTGTGATATACACGCTACTAAGCATAAAACAGAAAACTAGTGAGACCCTGCTATAGAGCATGGGGAACTCGACTCAGGGCTCTGCAGTGACCTAAAGGGGAAGGAAATCTAAAACAGAGAGGCTGCATGAATACGTACGGCTGACTCCCTCTTCTGTGCAGCAAAAAAACAGCACAACACTGTAAAAACACTATACTCCAATAAAAATTAATAACAAGGAAATAAAAGTGTACCCCCAAAAAAGGGAGGACTCCCTGCTTCTCTAGGCTGCCCCCGTGGCCCCCAGACAACCGGCTCTGACCGTCCTGCACACATCCCACACCATCCCCAACATCAGGGACAAGGAACATGGCCCCTCTGGGCCACCATCTAAGCCCCGTGGACTGGGCATGTGGCTGCTGGTGGCAAGGTCCACCTCTGACTGACAAGCCCTTGAGCCACATTCTATCCTCATCTCCTCGAAGGAGGTGAAGGAGGAACTACCCTTGTTCTACATTTCACACGTGACAGGACTGGAGCTCTGGGGGAAGGCACCGATCTGGAGTGCCACAGCTAGGATGGGGAGGACATGGAGTCAGATCAGCCTTCCCTCTATACCCTCCCGGCAGCCTCCCTAACAGGCAGAAGTCTGAGGACACACAGCCCCAGCCTAGGGTCAGAGAAGGCAGAAGTCATGTGGAGACCACAGCTGGCAGCTTTGGACAGCACTGGTTGTTTTTTGGTTTTTTTTAGTTAGGTGATTTCTACATAAAAATCCAGAGGTTTCAGCATATGAATATAAGCTTCTCTTATCAAATCAGAAAATCTGGCTGCAGGGACTTTCCTGGTGGTCCAGTGGTAAAGAATCTGCCTTGCAATGCAGGAAACGTGCGTTCGATCCCTGGTTGGGGAACTAAGATCCCACATTACTTGGTGCAACTAAGCCCAACTGTTCTAGAGCCTGTGCACCACAACAAAGACCCCTTGCATTGCAACTAAGACCCAACACAGTCAAATAAGTAAATATTTGAAAGAAAGAAAGAAAGAAAACTGGGCTGCACTGGGCTTGCTTCTGGTGTAGCATCATCAGCTGGGCCTGAGTAGGAGGGCTCAGTAGTGGCCCCCGTCCCCACCACTCCTGATCACCCACCCTGGGCTGCCAACCCTGTGTGAATCTCAGCTCTGACTCAATGAGCTGTGTCACCAGCTCCTGTCTCCCTCTCTCTGAATAGGACATGAGCAAGAGGGAGTAGAGAGCAGAGGATTCTGGAGTCTGACTGCCTGGGGTCAAACCCTTACTCGGCCATGTATGAGCTGTGTGACCTTAGGTAAGTGATTTGACCTCTCTGTGCCTCAGTTTTCTCATCCATAAGTTGTGGGTGAGAATAACAGGAGCTTCCTCATGGGGTTGTTCTGAGGATTAAATGCTTTATCTGCCAGAAGCACAGAGGTCTAGATGCTTTCTCAGGCCTTCTCCCCACAGCCCCCAGGACCCAGCCACGGTCAGGGTCTCACCCCGAAGCTCCAACTCTACCAGGCCGCTCTCATCCTCCAGCCCATCGATGACCTCACAGCGGTAGCGCCCATAGTCCTCCAGCCGCAGGTCCCAGATCTCCAGCGACACTTCCCGCGCTCTGTCCTGCCGCAGGTGCACCCGGCCTCGGTAGTCCCCAAAGGTGCGCTGTCTCAGCCCAATGGCCACCAGCACGTCCTGCTCCGGGACCCCATTCTCCGACATCTTCCACCATTTGATGCGCACGGGCCGCGGAGAGGCCAGGGCCGGCTCGTAGTGGTAGCGGCAGGGCAGGGTCACGTTGGCACCTCGGTGGGAGAACAGGGTCTCCTCCGGCGTCTCTACCACCAGCTTCACTCCACTGAAGATGCCTGAGGGGAGAGGTGGGGTGCAGATGGGGACCTCTGGCGGCACACCGGTAGTTCCGCAGGGGCCACCCCCTCCCTCACCCCCAACCCCCAGCTCCCGCCAGGCTCGGGAGTTCTAGATTGCACCGCCCCTACCCACACACTCTGCAATGTGACTGCACAACTCCTTCCTTCAGGAGGTGACTCTATGAACCACCCCCAGTCCCTGAAACCCTTGCTGGCCCTGCCACTTGCTTTGACCAAATGAACGCGGGGGAAGTGAGTGTTCTGAGGTGCTTGTTCGGAGCGGAGGCTCCAGGGGCCCTGTTGAGGCCTCTCTTTCTCTAGGAATCTTGCCAACCACCATTGGAACAAGGCCTGGGCTCCCCTGTAGGGTGAGAACACGCAGAGAGCAGAGACAAGCTCTCCCAGCTGAGGCCATCCTAGACCCACCAGCCCCCAGCTGACCTGCCCGCCCACCACAGGCACAATCAATTAAGTGAGCACAGCCAAGACAGGGAAGACGGAGTCCAGCCCAAAACGCTGGCCCATGAAACCATGAGCAAAGTACATGGCTGTTGTCTTAAACCACTAGGTTTGTTAGGCAGAAGATGCGAGCTGGTAGACTTCCCTGATGGTCCATGGATGGCAGATAGAAGTTGCTTGTGTAGCACAGGGAGGCTACCTCTGGTGCTCTGTCAGGACCTGGAGGGATGGGATGTGGAGAGGGGAGGGGGGCTAGAGACAGAGGGGATGTGTGTATAATGATGGCTGATTTGCGTTGTATAGCAGAAACCAATACAACACTGTAAAAATGTTTTGTTGTTATTGAGTCACTCAGTCATGTCCAACTCTTCATGACCCCATGAACAGCAGCACACCAGACTTCCCTGTCCTTCAGTTTTTAAACATCTTTAAATTTTTAAATGGGGGGAATAAAGAACCCACACTTTCAATGCGGTAGCAGTGGGGGAGGAGGGTTTGATCCCTGGTCGGGGACTAAGATGCCACGTGGTTCAGCTAAAAAAAAAAAAGAAAGAAAAGCAAAAGGCAAATTGGTGTAGCTGGCAGCAAGAGCACCTCAGAAGGGAGGGTGGGGGGACTCAGATCATCTGGGTCTCCTTCTCTAACACACCGGTCCCAGGAGAGCACAGCCTGCCCTTCACTCTGGCCAGCTGTCCACCACGACTCTTCCCAAACACCTAGAGACACAGGTGACACCAGGCCAGGACTCACAGAGGAGACTGCAGTCAGGCTCAGGGGGACAAATAAACACCGGGCCTAACATGCGCCACAAGAACCAGATTTATGGCTAAGGCTGGCCCATCTCTCACTGGAGTCTTCCTATTGGGGCCTCATGGTCTCACGGCCTTAGGTCTGGACTTCAGACCTTAGAGGTACACAGGCTGAGGGCAAGGGGTAACCTCAGGAGTAAACAAGGGATAGACAGGGAGGCTCGCTGTACAGAATCTCATGCTGAAAAACAGCCATACCTAACGACTCCTTGCCTATGTCCGAGTTTCTATGAGGCTCATGAGACCTAACAAATGATGCATAGTAGGTGCGTAAAGCTGCTGATAAAAAGTCACCTGGCTTTTCCAGTAACTGACCTGAAGTGACCTCTAAAAATGGTTTGCTATTCACTTGACCCAGAAAACTGCACAAAATCAAGAGGTTCAAATTTTCATGTTCACTTTAAGAACACTGCTTCCCTGGTGGCTCAGCTGGTAAAGAAGATTCTTGGGTCGGGAAGATCCCCTGGAGAAGGGATAGGCTACCCATCCAGTATTCTTCGGCTTCCCTTGTGGCTCAGCTGGTAAAGAATCTGCCTGCAATGCGGGAGACCTGGGTTCGATCCTTGGGTTGGGAAGATCCCCTGGAAAAGGAAAAGGCTACCCACTGCAGTATTCTGACCTGGAGAATTCCATGGACTGTATAGTCCATGGGGTCGCAAAAGTTGGTCAGACACGACTAAGCGACTTTCACTTTCTTTTGAGAACACTCATGAAACCACCCAGGCCATGAAGGGTATGCATATCCAGAAAGCCACCAAGTATCTGAAAGATGTCACTTTAAAGATATTGTGTGCCATTCTGTCATTACAATGGTGTTGATAGGTGTTCCCAGGCCAGTGGGGCTGGATGCAGGGTTATTGGCCCAAAAAGGGTGCTGAATTTTTATTGCACATGCTCAGAAATGCAGAGAGTGATTCCAGACTTCAGAGCTTAGATGTAGATTCTCTGGTCATGGAGCACGTCCAGGTGAAAAAGCCCCTAAAGATGCGGGACAGGACTTACAGAGCTCAGGGTTGGATCAACCCATACCTAAGCTCCCCTGCCACATGTAGATGATCCTTATTGAAAAGGGTCAGATTATTCCTAAACCAGAAGAGAAGGCTGCACAGGAGAAAAAGATATCCCAAAAGAAACCAAAAAAAATAATAATTTATGGCCCTGGGACTTCCCTGGTGGTTCATGGCTAAGACTTCACGCTCCCAATGCAGGGGGCCTGGGTTCGATCCCTGGTCAGGGAACTAGATCCCACATGCCTTAACTAAAGATCCCAAAGTATCACAACTAAGACCCAGCACAGCCAAATAAAAATAAATATTAAAAAAGAAACTTACTGCCTGGGGAAGAAATGCTGCAAAAAAATAAATGCAAATAAAAGTTTAAAAAAAAAAGTCACCTGCCCAAAGCCACATAGGTAGTAAGTGGCAAAATGGAGAGTCAAACCTATCTCCCTATATCCAAACCCCTTTTCCACTGGGAAGACCTGGGGAAGTCACGTTTAAGCGGAATTTTGAAAAATTGGCAGGACTTTGGGGAAAGTATAAAAAGCAAAATTGACCGTGCTACAGTGCATTCAGCTCCACACCCATGGGTTGTTGTTGGTTTACTCGTTCAGTCGTGTCTGACTCTTGCAACCCCATGGGCTGTAGCCTACGAGGTTCTTTTTTCCATGGGATTCTAAAGGCAAGAATGCTGGAGTGGGTTGCCATTTCCTCCTCCAGGGGATCTTCCCAACCCAGGGATCAAACCCGGGTCTCTTGCATTGCTGACGCATTCTTTACTAACGGAGCCACCAGGGAAGCCCTCCATATCTGAGGGGCCAGTAGACATGGAGTAACCTTCTCACCCTTCTGCTCATCTTAGCGACAAGGCTGGACCACTGCACGGGCCCAGATGGGAGCAGGGCTGCTGGCTTCACGCCCTGAGCCCCCACCCAACTCAGAACTCGCAGGGGCCAGGAGAGGCCTTCGTCACCTAGCCAAACCAACAGCCAAGAGGCCACCCACCTTCGCTGTAGCCATTGGCCAGGTTCCGGCCGTTGGGACGGTTGGAGTAGTAGAAGCCGTTGTAGAAAGGCAGGCCGGAGACACAGCACAGCAGGAGCAGCAGGATCGGGAGCCGCAGGCCCATGGCGTCACGCACCGGGCAGCGCCAGGGTGTCCAGGCAAGGCTGGGGCCCGGGGCAAACTGGGAGGAGGAGAAAAACAAGCCAGTGAGAGAAGTCTGCAGCGGGGCCCAGGGACCCACTTACTCATTCGTTCAATCAACAGGAATTTAGCAGCTTCCCTTGTGGTTCAGTGGTAAAGAATCTGCCTCCCAAGCAGGAGGCGAGGGTTCGATCCCTGGGTCGGGAAGATCCCCTGGAGTATGTATGTGTGTGTGTGTGGCTCAGATGCTAAAGAATCTGCCTGCAATGCAGAAAACCGGGGTTCAGTACCCGGGTTGGGAAGATCTCTTGGAGAAGGGAATGGCTACCCACTCCAGTATTCTTGCCTGGAGAATTCCATGGACAGAGGAGCCTGGCAGGCTGCAGTCCATGGGGTCACAGAGTTGGTCATGACTGAATGACTTTCACTTTCCAACCTTTTTGGCACCAGGGACCTGTTTCAAGGAAGACAATTTTTCCACGGGCTGGGGCAGGGTGAAGGTAGGGGTGGTGACGGTTTCAGAATGATTCAAGCACATTACGTTTATTGTGCACTTTATTTCTATTAGTATTACTTCAGCCCCATCTCAGATGACCAGGCATTAGATCCTGGAGGCTGGGGACCCCTGTGATAGAGCAGCTTTGGCATGCCAGGCACCGTTCTCATGGCTGGACAACACCGGTGATGAGCAAGATGAGGTCCCTGCTCTCAGAGGACTGCACCCTGCAGGCAAGATGGGCAACAGGCAAGCCAACATATCCTAAGCAGGAATTTACTGTTGTCGTTTTTTAGTCCCTAAGTCATGTCAGACTCTTTTGTGGCCCCATGTACTGCAGGCTCCTTTCTCCATGGGATTCTCCAGGCAAGAATACTGGAGTTGATTGTCATGCCCTCCTCCAGGGTATCTTCCTGGATCAGGGATCAAACCCGTGTCTTCGCATTGGCAGGCAGATTCTTTACCACTGAGCCACCAAGGAAGCCCAAGCAGGAATTAGGAGGCAGTGAAAAGACTGAAGAAAAAATTAAGCAGGACCATATGACAGTATCACCATTTTTCAAACTGCAAGGTTGAACTGGAAAAGTTGTGAGCAGCATTTTAAAATGACATTGAAGAGACCAGACTAGTAGAAAATATCAGGGGCATTCATGGTCAGTGAGGATGAATCCTGCACTGCAAAGCTTCTGTTTCAGTCCAGAAACGACTATGGAGGTAGAGGTTAAAAAAAAAAATTCTTTTTTATGCTATGCTAGAATACTTCTGGGGGGCTCTTACAGTTTAAGTGGACACTCAAATAAAATAGGCAGCTGGCCCAAGGGCTACAGATTGTTGATTCAATTTTTTTGTATTACATCAAAATTTTATGTCTTGATTATTGAGATTTTTGGTATGCACACTCCCCTCCCTTAAATTTTCACATGAGGGGACTTCCCTGGTGGTCCAGTGGTTAAGACTTTACCTTCCAATGTTGGGGATATGGGTTTGATCCCTAGTCGGGAAGCTGGGATCCCACATGTCTGGTAGTCAAGAAAACCAAGACATAAAATAGAAGTAATGTTGTAACAAGTTCAGTAGAGACTTTAAAAATGGTTCACATTGAAAAAAAAAATTTGCACAGGAGCCTAGTGCCCCACATACCTCCCCCTCATTCCTGCCCTGCTTGTCCATTTACTGAAAGTGCCGTGTGTGTGCTCAGTTACTTCAATTGGGTCCAAATCTTTGCAACCCCATGGACCGTAGTCTGTCAGGTTCCTCTATCCATGGGATTCTCCAGACAAGAATATTGGAGTGGGTTGCCATTTCCTTCTCCAAGGGATCTTCCCAACCCAGGGATCGAACCCACCAACTCCCGTGGCTCCTGCAATGGCAGGTAGTTTGTTTAACACTGAGCCATCATTAGAGAGTCTTTATTGGAAACACCCAGGATGAATTCTGCTTCCTTCCAAGGCTCTGGCTGAAACATGGGAGAGGAGGACAGAAAGAACAGTGTCTAGATGCCCTTGGGTGTCAGACTCAGCAGCCTGTCCTTTGTTCCCAAGGCCCTGGGGTGCTAGTAGTGGCTTTAGGCAGAGGAGCCACAGGATCAGACCTACATGTTAAAAACATCCCTCCAGTGGCTGAGTGGAAATCGGACTCTGGGGCAGCAAGACCAGAGTTGACAGCAGGCATTTGGAAGTATAAGTACGATCATCAGGCAGCAACGTGGAAAGTGCACAAGGTATAATTTAGGGTAGACAAAGCAGAACACAGACTTGCCACTCCGCTGTGATTGTAATGTGACCCTAAGAATGCCTGTATACAGAAACCAGAAGGGGAGGAATACAGCAAAACCAGAGAAAGGGAGAGCAAGCAAGGGGAAGAAAGAAAAGCATTGGCCTGTAAGGGTGGTGGAATTGTGGAGGAAACATTCTTGTTTTCAGAACAGTTAGGAGCTCTTACTGGAGAAGAAGCAATGCTGTGAAGGAAGTTGAAGGGTAGAATCCACTGTGCCCTTAGACCTCTTTGCAGGGAGCCCAAGGCCCAGACTTGCCCTGTGTGCTGTGCATGACAGGAGGACACTGTGAGCCTCGCTTCTTATCTAAGAGGAATCCCCAGGTGACATCCACAAAGCCTCTTGGTGACTTGGATCTAAGCAGCCTAAGCACAAACAGGAGTTTCCCAGGTGGCTCAGTGGTAAAGAATTCACCTGCCAATGCAGGAGATGCCAGAGACACAGGTGCAATCCCTGGGTCTATAGGGTCTAGAAAATCACCCAGAGGAGGGCATGGCAACCCACTCCAGTATTCTTGCCTGGGAAATCCCCCTGGACAGAGGAGCCTGGTGGGCTACAGTCCATAGGGTTGCAAAAGAGTCAGACAGGACTGAACAATTCAACAGCTCAAAACACATGCAACTTTGTAACCAGAGCACTACATGCAACTTTGTAACCAAAGCACTAACAGAAACAAGAGCAATCCAGAAAAAAGAAAACAAAAAACAAAAAAACCAGCATGTCAATCCACGCTTTGCAGCTTTCACCCACCACTGGGGCAAACACTTCTTCCTTCAGGATGTGGGTTATTAGGGGCACTGGATTCCAAAAGATACTAGGTTTACCAAAATTAAAAGTCTGACCCAGGGTAAAGTCATCTTAAATGTTTTGTTTTTTAACACAGGAAATGTCTTTGCAACTTCTTCAGCTGTTGTTGCCCACTTTTTTTTTGGCTGTGCTGGGTCTCTTTCCGTTGGGCAGGCTTTTCTCTAGCTGCCGCACACAGGAGCTTCTCTACTTGCAGCGGGTGGGCTTACTAGTTGTGATGCACAGGCTTCTCTAGTTGTGGGCTTCTCTGGTGGCTGCTCGCAGGCTTAGCTGCCCTGAGGTAGTGCTAGTCGCTCAGTTATGTGCAGCTCTTTGTGACCCCATGGACTGCAGGTTCCTCTGTCCATGGGATTCCCCAGGCAAGAATACTAAAGTGGGTTGACATTTGCTTCTCCAGGGGATCTTCTGGACCCAAGGGTCAACCTGGGTAACCTGCATTGCAGGCAGATTCTTTATCTGAGCAGTATTCTGGCCAGGAGAATTTCACCACCCTGAGGTATGTGGGATGTAATTCCCCAAAGAGGGATCGAACCTGCATCCCCTGCATTGGAAGGTGGATTCCTAACCACTGGATCACCAGGGAAGTCCCTGGTTTCTACTTTTATCAGAAAACTTTATGCTAAGTTCTGTTCAGTGGCTAAACCAGCAGTACAGCGCTCCTGCCTCACCACATCTCTTGCATCCTTCAGATGGGATGGCAAGAGTTTGGATACTAAGAGTTTGGGGAATCTGGACAGGGAAGGATGCTGTCTGTTCGGTTCTTGAGTGTTGGACAGTGAGTACCAAGCATTCGAATAGTGAGGGACATCAGTAAGAAAGGCACTTTCTGCAAGACTGACAGCACTTAAGGAATTCACACACTGCTGAGGTTTGCTCTTTAATAGTGAAGAAATCTTGTTTTGGTCACTTTAATACATTAGTGAGCTGGGGGTGGGGGGGGGTGGGAATCACCACCAGACTAAAGCCATTCCATGTCATACCGACGTCCCCCCACCCCCCCAGGGTTCTTACCAGCCGTGCACGAGGTAATTCACGGTTCAGAAACTAAGCCCTGAGCCAAAATAGCTCTTAGTTTCCGGTCTGGGGGTAATTTTTTTTTTCCCCCAGCTCACTAAAGTATTGGAGTGACCAAAACAAGATGTGTGGATTTCCTGATTCCTGACGACCCATTCTTTGCTTTTCCCAGCCACCACGTGCCTTAGGACCCCTCCGCACATCAGAAGCTGAACCTTGACTTGGTAGAAAGGCATACAGCCGAGTACCCCACTGCACCACCGGGCAGAACACGTCTCCCTGCCACCAGCAGAGGGCAGCCTTGCCCTCCAGGTCTCCATCATTCCGCTCCCGGAGAGGAATTTGACTTCGGTGCCCCAAGCCCTTTGAAACCTGCGGTTCCCGGAAAGTAGAAGTCCGGAGGTGTTTCCTACCAGCATTCCCAGCCCGCTGACCCGTGCAGGGCTGTGGGAGAGGGGCCAGGGCGCCTCTCGGCCACCTCCTCCTGCGGCAGAAGGCAAAAGGCCCTCCAGAGGTCAGCGCTGGGAGTCAAGGTCCAGACCGGGTCACAGGCTGCTGAAGGCCACCCAGCGAGTTGGTGACAGAGCTCGGTCGGTCCAAGTGTCCGGCGCTGTCGTTCCCCCCCCCCCCCCGCCCCCACCCCCAGCTGCTCAGGAGCTCTAAACTCCTCCCTAAAGGATCCCATCTCCCACCCAGGACTTTACTCTCCGCGCGCTCCGGGTGTTCCCTAAGTTAGAAACCCCACTGAACCCAGGCCTGAAACCCACGAGCATCCATTGCGTTTGCCCTGAGAGGGCCAGCGCAGGCCAGCTGAGGACCACCCGCCCGCTGCCTCGGGAGGTGTCCCCAGCCTCTCGCAGCGTTCCCGACCCCCGACCCCGCTCCCGCCCCGAGCAGATGAGCACCCAAAAGATGCCCCGAGGCAGAGCCCGGCGCCTGGGGCGCTGTGCTAGAGGCTGCGGAATAAGATGCGAAGAGACCAGGTGGGAGAGAGGAGAGCCGGGAGGTGGTCTCGGAGGCCACTGGTTTCCCTCAGAATTGGCCTCCTCGCCGACCAGGGTCTATGCACAAGGGTCCCACACAAGCCAGACCACGCCACGCGCTGCTCTGAACCCGCGGGCACCCGGGGCGCCCCCGACCGGCCGCGGCGATCACAACCCAACTCGGCCCCGGCCCCACGGGGCCCGGCTCACTCCTCCTGCCCACTTCCCCAACCCTGCCCAGGAAGCGTGAGGCTGAGGAAGCGGGAAGAGAGGAATTGGTCCATAGGGCGCCCCAGGAGCCCGGCCACCCCTGAGCTACGTACCGTCCCCAGGCGGCTCCTCGACGGCTGGAGAGCTCCGGGCCGCGGGGCTGATCCGGTCGGAGGAAGCAGGCGGACTCGGGGATCTTGAATGGCCCGAAGGGAAGCCGCTGCGGACGAACCCCCGCGCTCCCGCCGGGCCAGCCCCTTAAAGGAACACACGCCCCTTTCCCTCCCTTGGGCTGGCCCCAAACGGAGGAGGTGCGATAGATTTGGGCGGCCTCCAGACTTGCCTGGAGACCACCCCAAACCGGCTGGAGACCACCCCAGCCTGCGGAGCATCTGGCAGGCCGCGAGGTGAAGGGAGTGCCCAGGAGTTGCGGCGGTCATATTTAGGGGCGTGGACGACGAGCGTTCGTAGAGAGGGTCTCATCAGAACATCCCGGTTTACCAAAAGCAACGAGACTGAGCAGAGGGGAGCCCCCACCTCCACACTGCAGGTGCGCTACGGCCGACTCCCACCTTCGGGTGAGGGAGGGGCGACAGTTCTCACCTGCCTTTTGCCCAGAGAAGGCGAAGGGGCGCTGACAGCCCTCCTGCCCTAGAGTTTGACCGTAAGGAAATCTACTGCGGGTCGGCTAACTCAGCATCAGGCACAGGGAGGCTGCCCCTAGTAGGTGGGGCTTGAGTGAGTAGTCCTGGGGGCGGGAAGGGGGAACACAGGATGGGCAGATGGTGCTCCCAGCAGCCTGCAGGGGTGGTCAGGCTTCTGCCTTGTCCTCCAAGAGGGGTGACTCGGCTTTAGAATCCTGACCTGTCAGCACAGCTATCAGGCAGCCAGCTCCCGGGATGCCTGTTTGGACTGGGTGTTTAATTTTCCCTCCAGGCCAACGGAGGCCTGGCCTGAAAGCCCCATTGGTTCCTCAGCAGCCAAGCAAGGTCTTTCCGCCTTGGCCAAGTGGTCACTGAACCCAGAACCTCTTCCTAAATACACCTTGACAGTATGTGTGTGTGTGTGATTTGCCAGGAGCATCTCAGACCACAAAGAGCTGCAGTAGTAGTGTGTGTGTGCTCAGTCGTGTCCGACTCCTGTGATCCCGTGGACTGTAGCCCGCCAGGCTCCTCTGTCCATGGGATTCTCCAGGCAAGAATACTGGAGTGGGTAGCCATTCCCTTCTCCATGGTGAACTAAATTGCACCCAAAGTGAATGCCAGCCTGATGGGCAAAAGGGAACCAGTGCAGTTTCCTCCCCAAGGGAGAGCTGTCAGAAAACTGGGTGCAGGATGGATAGGATGGGGAAATGAGTAGGATGCCAGTTCCAATGAGGAAACCCTTGCAAGCTTTGCTGACAATGATCCAAGTTTCTGAGGCCCCTGATGAGCCAGGCTTTTCATCAGTGCTTATGTAGATTCTCTCCATCCAACCCAAGGCCATGGAGTTGGTCCTCTTATTTCTGCTTTACAGGTGGGGAATGAGGCTCAGAGGGATTTAAGTAAATTGCCCAAGATCACTCAGTCAGGATTTGAACCCAGATTCTCCAACTTGGAGCCTTCCCTGGTAGCTCAGATGGTAAAGAATCCACCTGCAATGCAGGTGACCCAGGTTCGAGCCCCGTGTCTGGAAGATCCCCTGGAGGAGGAAACGGCAACCTGCTCCAGTATTTTTGCCTGTAGAATTCCACAGACAGAGGAGCCTGGCAGGCTAAAGTCCATGGGGTCACAAAGAATCAGACATGACTGAGCAACTAACACTTTCACTTTTCTCCAACTTGAGGCCTTGTGCTTCTAATCACTCCACTATATTTAAACCAGGAATGAAAGGGTATCTGGACTCCTGGGAGAGTCAGGTCAACAGGTCCCAGTGCTGACAGCCACACATGTTAGGGAGAGGGATAGATGGACAGCAGGGAAGATCAGTTTTGTTACAGCAAAGTAAGTTTAACATCCTGGCCAGTGGCAGGGCTGGCCAGCAGGTAAAATCTCAAGAGGTGGCTCTCAGAACTGTGGTCAGGAATAAAAAACTACAGTGACCACTTGGTAGAGGTGACAGTGAAAGCTTTGGAAGTGGAGGGGGCTGCCCAGGGAGAGGAGTCAAGGACAGAAGGGGTCAGGAGGGAAGGGACCCTCATCTAGGGTCCCAGGAGGGGGACTTTCAGAAGGCTATGAACCAACACATCCAAGCGTGCAAAGATGAGTGGAAGAAGGGACTGAGAGGTGGCTTAGGCAATTCCAGAGTCACCTGGGGTCTCCTGGGCCAGGTGGAAGGTTCATGACTACTGCCCACCAGTCCACCTGGCCAACCAGCCGGTGAAACTGGCCAGCAGGAAATATCCAATGCCACAGAGGGACAAGTTGACAGACTAGAGAGAAGCTCAGTTTCCCCTTCTACAAGTGGGACTTACTGGGGACGGCACCATCCCCGAGCAGAGATGCAGGGGGGAAAAAGATGCTCAGTCCCCAGGAGAGGCCTGAACAAGTTTGGTTGTAGGATATGCTCCTAGGAGGGAGTCCTAAAGTCAGTAACCACCCAGAAAGACCAACTCCAGACCCAGACCATGCAGCTCCACAGAGGAGAGCTCTGAAATGGGAAAGAACCCCAGCCCCCAGGGATGGGGAACCCCACCCTCCCAGTTCAATCATAGACCACAGTCTGCACCTTTTATTCTATCCCTGCCCAGCCAAGAAGCCCAGCCAAGAAGCTTTAGGGGAGGAGCCACTTCCAGACTAATTTCCCTGATGAAGTTCCAACAAAACCACACCCTCCCTTTGGCAGCCACATGGCCAGATCTGCAACCCAGACGCTGCCTATATATGTGTCAAGGCACACTCCCAAAGTCTGTTCAGGAAAATCCATCTTGTGTCCCAAGACTAACGGGTGGTTTCATATGCCCCTCTCCCGGGTAGTCAGTCCCTCCTTTATCTGCCAGCCCCTCTTCCAGATCACTGGCTTGCAGTGTGCCGCCCTACACATGAGCCACTTCCTGATGGCTCCCCGCTAAGGGTAAGGAGTGGGAAGAGGGGTACCCCAGGAGTTTCCTCCCAGCCCTGGAGTAAAATTGTCAGTGGCTTCCCAGGACCCAGTGTGCTTGGCCAGCAGCGCTGAGCTCCTTTGGCAAAGCCCTGCCATTGCCCCCCCATCCCACACTGCACCCCACCCTGGGGCCTCCCGCGGCTCTGAAAGCTGCCTAGGTTCACCAAGTTTCTAACAGCTCCTCCAGCCCACCATTCCAGTGGCAAAGAAAATGGAAACTGCCGAAGGGGAAAACCAGCCGCCTCCGCCTGTTTTCCTGGAGCTGGAAAGGAGCAAAGGCAGGCGTGAAGGAAGCCACTGTGCGGCTCCCAGGGGCCCCTCACCTGGCAGCAACTAAGGCCCCGGGCTGCATGGCTCTGAAGCAGGAGAACTATGGGGAACAGTCCTGACCCCTCCAGTGGGACTCCAGCCCAAGCCCCCCAGCAGCCTCCTCCCTCTCTGCAGCCAGGACAGGTGACACAGAATGCTGGGGTTCAGCGACAGCTGAGGGTGGCGGCAGCAACCAGCCCAAGTCTAAGCCCACTGAGTGAGTGAAAGTCACTCAGTGGTGTCTGACTCTTTGCGACCTTATGAACTATACAGTCCATGGAATTCTCCAGGCCAGAATACTGCAGTGGGTAGCCTTTCCTTTCTCCAGGGGATCTTCCCAACCCAGGGATCAAAACCAGGTCTCCCGCATTGCAGGCAGATTCTTTACCAGCTGAGCCACAGGGAAGCCCAAGAATACTGGAGTGGGTAGCCTATCCCTTCTCCAGAGGATCTTCCCAACCCAGAAATCGAACGAGGGTCTCCTGCATTGCAGGCGGAAGCCCATTTCGACGGAGCAATGGATGAACCACAGTGAGCATTCGGGGGGTGATATAAATATATTTTGGAAGCTGCCTGTGTACTCTGGGGTAAAGAACCAGCACAGGGGGCTCCCCGCCTTCCCTGCGCTCACCCGCCTCCTCCCCCATCACTCCACAGACCGACCCACCCCCCCCCACCCCCCCCCGCCTTCTACCTCTTTCTAGGCTTCAGGATGAGAGTCAAGAGGGGTCTGTGGGGAGTGGGTGGGGATGAGGGGGAAGTCTCGGGGGTCAGGAGTGCAGCATCATGCCTCAGGCTGTTCTCTCCAGCCTGAGGCCTCAGGACCTGTTTATTCCTCCAGGGCCCTGGGGGTGTGGGGTGTGGGAGCAGCGCAGGAAGGACATAGGGACCTGGAGAGGCACAGGTCACCCACGCTCTGTACTTTGCCCTTCCCTGTCCATCCCAGAGCTACTCAGCTCCCACCGTGCCTAAGAAAATGGGATGCCTTGAGGACTGGGTGCCAGAGACCCCTGGGAGGGGGCGAGGGAAGAGGAGGGAGGGAGAGGTGACTGGGAGGGAGACACTGCCTGCCCCCAGGTCAGCTACAATCAGGAGGGCGGGCGGAGGAGGCAGCAGGTCCACGGAAAGAAGCAGCCGCCCCAGGGCCCTTCCGGTCACTGCGGCTGGGCCTACCACTAACAGCCCAGCAGCTCCACGCGCAGGGTGATACGGTTGTGCCAGGCCACGGGCTGGATGCGCACGAAGCGAGCCTGGAACGGCATCTCAAACATGTTCTTCTTGTGGGAATTATTGTCCATGTTACCAGGGAAAATCTGGAGGCAGAGGAGGTGTCAGGAGGCCCCCAGAGCCAGCCCTCCTCCCCCTCAGACCCCAAGATCCGACTTGCAGGGCACCCCTGGAGTGGGGAAGGCAGTACAGCTGGACACACACTCACCTTGCTTTCCCTGGCCCCCGGGTCCTTGTACTCAGTCCAGGTCACACCATCGTCACCGTAGGCCACCTTGTAGGCAGCCACATACTGAATGTGGCCAAAGTCTCGGGCACCCTGGGTGATGATGCCAGTCACTCGCTTCTGGGAGCCCAGGTCAATCTACAAGGGGAAAAAAAAATCAATTCCGTCTTCTCTGCTTGCACCATCTCCAGTAAGGTGGGAAAAAGCACACATACATGCTGGGGCATACATTCTAGTTTTGGGGAAACTACTTCATTTGGCAGAGCCTCAGTTTCCCCATCAATCAAATGGGCATAAATAATCCCACCAACTTTGTCAAGCACTTCACTGCAACAAAGGTCAGATTTCAGAACCTGGCCCCAAGCAATCCTTGTACGATGGAAACGGGCAGAGAGGCCATAGTCTATAGGGACATGAACTGCTCATGAGGCCCTGCAGGCTGTCCAGAGCCTGATATTGGTCCTGGGTGATTCCAAAGGCAGGCAGCTTCTCATGGAACCCAGTCCCCCAGGCTAATGTGCTCCTTGGGGCCTAGAGACACCACCACCCTCCTGCCCCCCAGTCCAACCTGGGGAGCCTGCCAGCTGACCAGAGGCAGATGGTGCTCAGTAAGATCCAGGCTACAAACCCATCTCACTGCCGACCAGAAGGGGAGCCCCAGGCAAGTCCTCGCTGTGCCAGGACCCAGCTTCCTCAGAGATAAGAGAGGATGCTCTGGTTCTCTACGACTCTCCTGAGCTTCCCAGCTGCAGTGAAGTCCAAGGGCCATCACACGGTGTGCTCTCAGCGAGTGAGAGCATCCTCTGACAGCAGGCACAGGAAGCCCGACATGTCCCTCCTCCATCCTGCCCTGCAGGCCCTGGGCTCAGCCTTATCAGCCGGTGGCAGCCACTGGAGGTGGCCCCACCTCTACACACACACACTCATCACCCGGGGCTGAGAGCCTTGACAGAAGCAGCTCTGAGCTCCTCCACCATCCCCCCACTCGAGTTACAGAATCAGCAGAAAGGTGGGAACACAAGAGGAAGAAAAGAGCAAAGTCGAACACAAACAAGTCTCAAAGAAACTCCCTCTCGGCAAGCAGAAGCCAGGGTTGGTCCAGGGTCATAGATCCCACAGCCCCACCCAACCCCAGCCCTGCATCCCCGGAGGAGCCTGACCCACCTGCAGCCACTCAGAGGCACTGTTGGTCTGGGCGGTCCAGGCGTTGAACTTGCCCTGATTATCCAGTCGTGCGTAGTAGGGAAACCAGCTAAAGGCATTCAGGCCCCAGGTTTTGTAGTAGCTGGAGGCTGTGATCTGCTTGTTGGGGATGGTATTATCCTTCAGGCCTAGGGGTTCGGCGCATCCTGCCAACAAGGAGGTGGGGGGTGGGGGGCTGTCACCCAGATCTGGGATCCAAAGCCTCCCCGGGTAGGTGTGAGAGCGAAGCAATGAAGGGAAAAGAACTCTGGCTTCTGACAAGCCTCTGGCATCCTCTTGGACAACACACAGAAGCTCGTTCAGGCTTCCCTGGTGGCTCAGTGGTAAAGAATCTGCCTGGCAATGCAGGAGACAAAGGTTCGATCCCTGGTCCAGGAAGATCCCACAGGCCATGGAGCAACAAAGCGCGTGCACCACGACTATTGAGCCCTGGAGCCGCAACTACTGAAGCCCATGCACACCTGTGCTCCACAACGAAAAGCCCCTGCAGTGAGAAGCCCGTGCACCACAGTCAGAGTGTAGCCCTCGGCTGCAGCAACTAGAGAAAAGCCCACGCAGCAGTGAAGACCCAGAACAGCCAAAAGAATAAAATTACACTTAAAAACCATTAAAAAACAAAAGGACAATCTCCTTCCACACTTTAGAGCCAACTAACTGGTCTAAATAATTTCTTGCTGACAGCCCGACCCACACCTCAGCTCAGTTCTCGCCCCACGCCCCTCAGATGCTCTGTACAGATCACCCACTACTCGTCTCCCTCTGCACCAGGGCAGGGCCCTGATCCACCACCTCTCACCCTCCTTCAAAGCCTGACTCAGACCCCTCCTCCAAGAAGCCTGCCCTGACCACTTCACTCAGATGGGACTCCTCTCTCCTCTGGACTCACAGCATTTCCTGTCGTTCCTACAGTACAGCCGCGATTCATACCTCCAAGTCCTGGAGTAACTAATAATAACCATCTCACTGACACAGTTCTGACTTCAGTCACTTAATCCACCATACAAAAACCGGAATCAACAGGATATTAGCAACCCCATTCCACAGATGAGAAAGCTGAGGCTAAGAGCCATGAAGCACTGTCCCCAGGTCTCTCTTGACACACCACACACACACACACATACACACACACAGAGCGAGTCACCATGCCACACGTGACACTGTCTCCACCACTCCTGCACCCACTCAGAGCTGGGAAGGCCTGCCTGGTGATGACCCAGTGATGAATAGCACAGCATTCCTGCTCTCCAGCAGGTGGAAGCTAACAAGTCAGAACTCCTGAGGCTCAGGAACGACCATGTCTCCCTGCCCCACAGCCCCTCCCAAAGGGTTTACACATTCACTACTCTGCTGCTGTCTGACGTGCCTGAGAGGGTTGCCTGAGAAGCTGGCCTTGGGTTCACTCAGGCCTGCTCCAAACATTCAGGAATGTGCCGGGCTGTTTTGTCCTCTCATCTGCACCTGCAGGAGACCAGAACGGCTGGGGATGGGCAGGAGACAAACTCCCATGAGGGGACTTCCCTGGTGGTCCAGTGGCTAAGACTCCACACTCCCAGTGTCAGGAGGCCCAGGTTCGATCCTTGACCAGGGAACTAGACCCCCTAATGCTGAAACTAAGAGTTCACATGCTGCAACTGAGACCTGGTATAGTCAAATAAATAAATATCTTTAAAAAAAACTCCCAAGAGAATAACAGGTATGTCTCACACAGGTCAGAATCTTCACTGCACAACTGACTGTCTGTCCCTTTGCAGAATCTGGAGTAAGACTTGCAAATCCATGGTGCCATCTGGGAGCAGACTATAGTACACGGTGCTTTACATCTCCCCAGATGCTGGTGACCTTGCCAGTAAAGACATTTGCCTTCAGACGGTGCCGATGCTGATCAATCACACCATCTCTTTGTGATGGTGATGCATCAGGTAACCTTCAGCCTTTCCCATAAAGACAGGCTGATGGGCTGGGAGCTGGCTCATCCCAAAGCTCCAGACCTGCAAGGCCAAGGGGCTGGCTAAACCTGGAGCGCTCTGGAGAGGAGCCAAAGCATCATTTGATCATGGTGCACCCTTCTACACCCCATCTGCTTCCAGCACGACATTTCCCCATCATTACGGGCCCCCTCCCCAGAAATCAGACAGCCTTCCAGATAAAAGAGAACTGGCAGGGCACCACGCAGAGCTCAGCTCCACCACCCCCTGTGTGAGCCTGGGGAAGCCTCCTCCCCACTCTGGTCCTCAGACTCCCCATCTAGGTACCAGAGCAGTGTTTCTCATAGATCAGCGGAAGTGAAATGAAGTGTTAGCCACTCGGTCATGTCTGACTTTTTGCGACCCCCATGGACTATAGACCACCAATCTCCTCTTTCCATGGGATTCTCCAGGCAAGAATATTGGAGTGAGATGCATTCCCTTCTTCGGGTATCTTCCCAATCCAGGGATCGAACCCAGGTGTCTTGCATTGCAGGCAGATTCTTCACCATCTGAACCAGAATACTGATGGTTTTTCAGATCACTGGTGCATGCGTGCAAGCTAAGTCACTTCAGTCATGTCTGACTCTGTGCAATCCCATGGACTATAGTACCTCCAGGATCCTCTATCCATGGGATTCTCCAGGCAAGAATACTAGAGTGGGTTGCCATGCCCTCCTCCAGGGGATCTTCCCAACCCAGGGATCGAACCCTTGTCTCATGTCTCCTGCATTGACAGGTGGGTTCTTTACCACTAGTGCCACCTGGGAAGCCCTTAGATCACTGAGGGACCCTGCTAATACAGGGATTCTGTCTCAGAAGGTCAAGGGTGGGGCTGGAAGTTTACAAGCTTCCAAGTGATGCTCATTTTGCCGGCCCATGGAGCATCACCTGGGATGCCCTTTCCAAGTTCTTCACATGGCCTGATCTGCATTATTCAAGCTTCTACTCAAAGGCCATCCCAACAGGGCAGTCCCCATGCCCTTCCCTCTCTTCACCCCAAGTCACCATCGTCACATATCCTGCTAATTTTTCCTTTATCATTCTTACTGCTATCTGACCTTTCTTTTATATTTGCTTCTTGTCTCACATCAAACTCTCTCATTAGAACCCAACAGCCTTACTCCCTAGAGCCAGACACTCAGAAGGAGCTTAATAAATACCTTAATAAATATCTACTGAGTTAAATAACTAATCAGTTCACCAAGGAGACTGTGTCTGCTGGTAAAGAGGAATCTAGTGCAGGGCATGCCCAGAAATGCCCAGATCTCAGTCCCACGGACGTGCACACATGTATACACACACGCACACACCAATACTCTCGCCAGCCAACCCAAATCCCTACAAAGGAAAGGAGATTGGTCCAATCCTTAAGAAAAATAAACAAGTCAGCTTCACCTCCTCCCCTTGCCAAACACACCCTCTCTTGGCCTTAGAAGGAGCCAGTTGTGACATGAGAGGCTCAGGTCAGCAACTTTAAACAGGCAAGGGCTTCGGACTATGACAGCAAGTAGTGAGGGACACCAGGGAGAGAAGCCCATGGTTTGAGTCCCCAGACCTGTTCTGTCCTTTACCAATTGCTTAAATTTTCTTTCAGCAAAAGGCGGAGTCTTTAACTCCCCAAAACAATTAGGTTCAAAAGGCAGTGACCCTGGGAGCAAAATAAACTGAGTTTACTCCATGCTTTAAAAAAAGAATAACCCCAGACAGGCACTGAACTCAGCTCTGAGTGGTTTGGGGTGGTAACTGAAATGCAATAACAGAAAGAGGATCCACAGTGGGGAAGGAGGAGCAAAGGGTAGGCCCTGGGTTAAGACAAGAAAGGCAGAGAGCTACCTCTGTTCTGCAAGCTCTGCCTAGAGAGCCCTGCAGTTCTGCCGGCAGCCAGCAGGTGGCACTGTCGCTGAAAAGAGAAAAATATCCAGACCTCAGGGAGAAAGCAAGGCTGAACTGAGCTGGGCAGAGATAATGCCCTCAGACCAACCCCTGTACCCTGATCTCTCCACAAACAGCGACAAGAAGCGCCATCTCCAGCCCTATGACCCTCCAAGTCCCGAAATGTTTCTCCTGAATGCAGATTATAGGGAGGGAGAAACCGTGGATGAGTGGGTGTCAAAGCGCAGGAATTCAGACCAAGTTTTAATGCCTACCAGCTGTGTGCCCTTGATAAACAATTTACTGGGCCTCACCTTCCTCCTGAGAGGGTAACAGGCAGGAAGGCCAGGGGTCTCCAAATGGAAAAAAGAGGCTGCAGGTGCCAGACATTTTTATCTCTCTTAAGTGGCAGGAAGAAACAAACCAGCAATACGTCTTTCCTTCTCTATACAAATTTAAAAGGAGGTTTCTCTCAACATGCTGTGTGGCCATGACACCTGGTCTCACCTGAAGCTAACTACTCTCAAAGCTCGAGTTAACCAATACATTTCTTTTTCATATGGAAATGTTGTCTTAAGATATGTTAATGAACCCCAGACTCTATCTTCAAGTTGGTTCCGCCAAACAGCCTAAATTACTTACTCAGGTATTGTTCCCCTAATCTAGGTAAATCAAACTATTTGTTGGTATTCTGCCCTTCTGAATCGTTTTATGGCCAGGGATGAATTATCTGGTGCCATTCTAAATTTCATGACATGCCTTTCTTCTCAGTAACAGATTGTGAGTGACTATATAACATACAGCTAAAAGACTAGGGGGGGTACTCTTTTGCCCCCTTCTGATGCCTATGTCAGAAGCTTTCTCTATCTCCTTTATACTTTAATAAAACTTTATTACACAAAAGCTCTGAGCGATCCAGCCTCGTTTCTGGCCCCGGATTGAATTCGTCTCCTCCGGAGGCCAAGAATCCCGCATCTAATCGTTCAGCAACAACCTTTCACTCCTTCATTCATTCACTCATTAATCAGTATTTATTGAGCGCCTATGATCAAGGCTCTATTCTATGCACTGGGAATGCAGCAGTGAACAAAACAAACTCCCTGCCCTGGTAGAACTGACATCTGCAAAACAGAACCAACGCTAAATGTTCTAGAAGCTCGAGGTACCTATCAGAGTACGTGAAAATATTTTGAAAACTGAAGTGGTATATTTTTTTTCCTTTGTTGTCATTTGCCATTTAGTCGCTAAGTCATTTCTGACTCTTTGCAACCCCAAGGACTGTAGCCCGTCAGACTTCTCTATCCACGGGATTTCCCAGGCAAGAATACTGGAGTAGGTTGCCATTTCCTCCTGGGGGGGATCCTTCCCGACCCAGGGGTCAAACCCGGCTCTCCTACATTGCAGGCGGATTCTTTATCACTGAGCCGGATTCTTTATCACTGAGCCGCAGAAGTCCTTTTTTCCTCTTAAGCACCTGGGCAGGACTGCTTAAGGCCTGGTGATCCTTCTGTGTGAGCTCAGGTTCCTGGGCCTTGCTGCCTGCCTACCCAACTCCTCGCAGTGGCTGAGAAAGGAGGGGACAGGGACAGCCATCTCTGAGGATGGCAGAGCCACTGGCACTCACCATTCCACTCACAGCCAAGGAGCTCAAAGCGGAGGGTGCAGCCCCGGTGACAGATGATGGGCACCAGTCTCACATACTGTACCTCCAAGGGGGTATCAAACATGTTGATCTTCAGGCCACTGTTGTTCACATTACCAGTAAATATCTAGGAGGGAAGAGGCAGATTGGAGGAGTGGGTCAGTGCAGGCAGTCCTGCTTCCTGGGGTGGTCTCTCCCCCACTTCTACTTTGGGCCAGGAGACAGAGGTGTGCACAGCAGAGCTGGCAGGAGTTCCCCGTTCCTCCAGACAGCCCACAGCCCTCAACACATTCCCTTTTTCATACCTTCTTTGGTCACCATGGGGCATAGGTAAATCCTCATCTTTCACCCAGGACCACCTATGATCTACAGGGTGCCTCTATGCAAATTAGGAAAAGGTACTCCTCTCTAAAAAGACTTTATAACAACAATTTTCCCACAGACAGAAGTACACATGAGGTCTACATTGTGAATGATGCTAAGTAGTAGCCCTTGAGCAGTGCACAACCCATACAACTGTACATGGTATCCCTGAAGGCTATAAATGCGTCCCATCTCCACCACTACAGCCACGCTCAAGTCATTGAAACTTCTTGAGTCTCACTATTCTTATCTATGGGCTTCCCTGGTGGCTCAGTGGTAAAGAATCCACCTGCCAATGCAGGAGACATGGGTTCGGTCCCTGAGTTGGGAAGATCCCTTGGAGAAGGAAATGGCTACCCACTCCAGTATTCTTACCTGGGAAATCCCATAGACAGAGGAGCCCAGCAGGCTACAGTCCGTGGGGCCGCAAGAGTCAGACACGACTGAGCAACTAAAAACAATTCTTATATCTGTAATATGGGCCTATTACTTGTAAATCACAGAGCACAGACACAATCTGGGCTTCCCAATTTCTGTGAGCCAAGATACACCTGAAAGCCCACCTTATGGTTCATCATCCCGGGTACCCTCGCCTCCCTGGGAGCCTTCAAACAGCACTGAGCCCCAGGGGTTGCTGACCACAGCCCTTCTTCAGGGTTCCCAACAAACCTCACCTTATCTCCTGACTGCCCTTCTCCTGACCGCCCTGCAACCTGGATGAACTTGAATCGGCGCCCATCGGTGCTGTAGGCCACTTTAAAAGTCTTCAGGTACTCCGCACTCCCTGCACGGCTGGCCCCCTGGGTCACCACGCCCGTCACCCGCATCCTCCGCATCAGGTTCACCTGGACCAGGGCAGGCAGGACAGAACCCTATCTCCCGGGTTCTTCCTACCCTCGTCACTCCCCCAATCAGGACAAAGAAGCAGGGGCTTTCTCATCTGGCCCTCTCCAGGCTCTGGACCCAGTGCTCAGGACACAGGGACAAGATTCTAGGGACTTCCCTGGTGGTCCAGGGGTTAAGAATCTGCCTTCCAGTGCAGGAGGTATGGGCTCCATCCATGCTCTGGTTGGAGAACTAGATTCCACATGGCTTGTGGCCAAAAAAACCAAGACATAAAACAAAAGCAATATTGTAACAAATTCAATAAAGGCTTTAAAAAAAAAAAAAGGACAAGCTTCCAGAGCCTGCAAACATTGCAAACAGTCTAACAGCCTAGTATTCACTCCCTTCATCCCACCCACCCACTCCAGGCCCCCAGAGCAGCCCTCCACTTAAAGATACTTCACCTGTGGGAACCGGCTACCTTGTTACCTGGACCCCAGTTCTGAACCCTCCCATGGTGTCCCCCCCAACGTAGGCACTCACAATCTCCCATCACACCACCTTCACTCCTAACATATCACCCATCCCTGGGCCACCCCTTCCATACCTGGATCCAGGGGTTTCTGTCGTAGTTGCTGGATGTCCACGCGTTGACGATGCCCGTGTGGTGCAGGCGGGCCAGCTCCGGGGCCCAGCGCTGCAAACCCATGAAGCCCAAGTGCATGGATGAGGCAGAGATCTGGGAGTCGGCAATGGCGCCCGTCTGCATGCCCAGCGGCGAGGTGCAACCTGAGGGGGAGAAGGGCAGTCAGAGGGCCACCCACGCAGGCGGGGCCCACAAGACACGAGAACAAGACAGTTGTGGCCTCTGCTGAGGACCCAGAGGACCCAGAGCAGAGACCACGAAGGGACAACGAGGGCCGAGGAGGAGGTGCGGAAACAAAGCTCACAGTGAGGAACAGAGGGGCCGGCAGAGTCATGAAGGGGTTTGGGACACTGGGCTTCTAGAAGGTTCCAGGCGAGGCCCACATGTCACGACTGGCAGCTGGAGTCCCCCACCAGGCTGCAGGAGGTGGTCTCTTTTTTACAGGACATCAAGCAGCAATTATTCTAACACGGGGTGGGCTGGTGAGCAGATACCAGTGTGACCTCCTGTCTTCCTCCATGTCCCGCCACATCCAGCCCAGCCCCCTGGCCCCCCAGGAGGATGGCTTTGTAAGAAGGGCCCCTCAGACGCCAGCGAACAGTCCTTACACTGCACATAAAGCACTGAGCACATACATGTGCCTGGAGTTTTCTAGACTCTCACTGGAAGGAGTTTTCTGAATGGACTGTGAGTGCCATTGTTTACTCTGGTACCCTTTGGGCCTTCTAACTACTGGTCCTGACCGGCCATCGGGACGACCCCCCTGGCCAAGGCCCATCGCCTTCACCAGCAATGTGGTCTTCGGGGGCCAAGCCTGCAAGCCTCGACCTCGGGTCCCAAGCAGAGAACCCGGGAGAGATCCACTTGTCTTCCAACACCCCAGGCTCATACCAAGCTCGGTGTATGACCCTTTCACGGGGAGACAGAGGCACAAGCGAGGCCATACGGCTGAGATCAGAGCCGGCCGCTGGCTGAACAGAGACCCGAACTCACATCTGTTCTGTCCTCAGCCCTCACGTCCACACCCAGCATCCACAGCCAGCAGGCTCCAAACATGCCTGCGAGGTCCTTATGGGCTCCAAAGACACACACCACGTTAACAAGTAGGGGGGGTCAACAAAGGGCCCTATGGGGGTGGGGGCGGTTCCTCGCCCTTTGTGGTCGCTGCCACATCCAGCCTGGGACAGACCCCAAGCCGAGAAGCAGAAGCAGGTGAGATGAGTAATTCGCACTCGGGCACACCCAGGGTTACCTGGGCTCTGGCACAGTAATTAGTGGGCCCACCTGGCTCCACCCAGGGCTCCCAGCGGCCTTGGCGGACGCCCACCACCCCCCCACATTCCCCTACCCAGCGTCTGACACATTGGTCTCAGCCCTGCGCACAGGCCCTTGGGGCCTGTCTCCTCTGAGGTTTAGGGTGCAGGCACTTACCTGGTCTCCCCCGGGAGCTGACTCCCACCCAGCTGGCCCAGCCCTTTCTCCTTCCCCTGGAGACCACCCCCGTATCCACCCAGAGCAGGACACTGCCCCCTGCTCACCCGCTCAGGGACAGACCCCCTGAACTGCAGATAACCAGGCACCGCCTCCCTCACCCCATCCAGCCCTGGGCCTAGATTCGCCCACCCGATGGCAGGTGAGGAAGAGTCCTGGCTTGTGGGAGGAATCTCAGCTAGGCCAGGAGCGAGGACGGCATGGACAGATGCCACTGGCAAGGTCTGCTGGGCACCCGCCAGGGCCGATTTGTGGCTGGGTGGATAACCAAGCGAGCCAGGCTGGTCAGCCCTTCTGCACACGCCGGGCCTCTGACCGCCTGACTGTGAGCGGACGGCCCAGGCTGCTCAGGCCTCTCCCTCCTCTCTGAGCTCTGCAAGGAGGCCAGAGGTCACACTTGGGCCAGCACTGTCAGACCCTGAGGATCAAACCTTATTAACTGACTCCCTGGGCCCCAAAAGATTAAGAATGTGTTGGTTTTCCCTTCTCGGTAGAAAAATCCCAGGACTTAACTCTAAGGTTGTATGTCTCGTTTGTGGTGACAGAAAATAACACTCCCACGACCTCTGGGGTCACTCCCACCCCTCACTCCCCTGCAGGGACATGAGGCCTGGCCAGCAGTCCCAGGAGAGAGAACCAGGCAGGAAGAAGCCTGGGGAGGGACAGAGTCCCTCCCTGCCTCCCCAGTCCAAAGTAACTGAGCTCTGCCCCGCTCCAAATCCACCCGGAGGAGACCCTGACGCAGAAGAAGGCCAGCATGTGGCCTGAGCCACCAGGCCTGTGGTACAGGGTGTGCCCCTCGGAGCAGGCAGCCCTGGATACTCACTGCTCTCACAGTGGGTGCCCCTGAATCCAACAGGGCACTTGCAGATGTACTCGGTGAAGACATCCCCTCGGAGGGAGTGGTCAGTTACCTGGCATTCAGCATCATTGTGGCAGGGGTTTGGGAAACAGGGGCCTGGGGAGGAAGCAGGTAAGATGGGCAGGTGGTCAAGAAGGAGCTGGAGACAGGCAACGACAGACAGGCCAAGCCCCGAAGGACCCTCCACCCAAATTCGGCCCACTGCCTGCCAGTGCCCCCCAGCTCCTCCCTCCCTCCTCTCAATCTGCCCGATGGGGCCTGGGCCAGCCTGGAGCCAAGAAGGGTCAGGTGGAGGTGAGTCAGCCCAAGCGAAGGAAGCACCCAGCTTTCCAAGTGGCCTGGGAGCTTCCAGGAAAAGGGCAGCAAACAACAGGAGGGGTGCTGTGGACCACTGCCCACAGCGGGACAAGCTAGGCCAGCAGCCTGGGCTGCAGCTGGGAGCTGGCAGGGAGCAGCAGGCACGGCCCAGGACAGGTACCGTGCTCCGTCTCGTTGCACAGGAGGCCCGTGAAGCCTTCAGGGCAGAGGCAGTAGAAGGGGGGTTTTCTGTCCTCGTTCAACAAGCAGGTCCCACCATGCAGGCACTGGCTGGAGTCACAGAAGTCACCTGCAATGCCAGTTCTGGGTTAGGAACAGTCATTCATTGAGTAAATATTGGGGGGGGGGGGGGCGCGGTGGTTTGGGCAACTAACAGGTATACATTCTGGGCCTCTAAGACAGATGCAGTCTGGGTCTCAAGAAGCCAGAAGAGGGACATCCCTGGTGGTCCAGTGGCTGAGACTCCACACTCCCAATGCAGGGGGCCTGGGTTCGATCCCTGGTCAGGCAACTAGATCCCACATGCCTCAACTAAGAGTTTGCATGCTGCAATTAAGACTGAAGATCCTGCATGCCACAACTAAGACCAGATACAGCCAACTAAGCAAATACCTATTTTTTAAAAAAAATAAGAAGTCAGAGGAAAGTGGTGGTGACCTACAAGTCACCAGGTAATGAGGAGGCACCATGAGCTCTGCTGTGTGAGGGGCCAAGGGAGGATGGTTTCTGCCAGAAAGCTGGAAGGTTCAGAGGTAGGGACATTTGCGCTGGCTAAAAGTCACAGTGGGATGGTGCCCGGCTGGGGAATGAGGAAAGAACTTTCCAAAAAGAAGCAGAAGCCCAGAACACATGGTATGCTGCAGAACAGGAATAAAGACATTGCTGAAAAGGGAGGCTGGGGGTGGGGGGACCTTACGAATGACAAGTGGAGACTCTTCATCCTGCAGAACAAGTGCTCTTAACCCTCTTTTGGCATCCCCACCACGCGCCACCAGGAAAAACTCAAGAGGTTCACAAGCATGAGGTGGGACTGGGGAAGCCATTTCCTAGATGGTGAGGGAGAATGTCAAGAAAAGGCCTTGTGCTGAGATGTGGATGGGCTGCCGGGGTGGAGAAGTGGCTCAGAAGTATACAAAGATCCCTCTGGCTCTGCATGGAAATGTGACTGAGCAAGTGAGAGAGGAGACCAGGAAAGCATCAAGGATGCTGCCCTCCTGGTAAAAGACAAAGTCAGGCTGAGAGGTAAGGAGGAAGGTGGATTTGAGAAACACTGGACAACAACAAGAGGTGGGAAGAGGGCTGGAGAGGACTTTACAGATTCTATCTGGGGGCCTAGGTGACAAATGTTAGCCTGTCCCCAGTGATTTGACTTGGGTGGACTTCAGCCCATTAGGTCAGCCAGACCTTCAGAGCATCTTCTAGTTGATCTTTGCATCCCAGAAGGGCTGCCCCAGACCCCACACCCCTACACATCACTTGGAGTGAGACATGAGAAACCTTTTTTCCTCCCTGCAGAGTCACACCATCCCAGGCTGGAGGGCCCCCCTGAAATCCCAAAGCCCTGGAGACCTGGGCGGGGGTTCCAAGGAAGGGAACACCGTTAATGAGCAGTGGGGGCCTCAGGAGCTTAAGGCAGCTCCCAATGAGCCATTAGTCACTGGCTTTAAATAGCAGGTTAATCCCCTCCCTGACCTGACAGGCGGCAGGCACTGCCTCAGCAGAGGCTTGAGAATGGCCAGAGCCTTGGGCTCCTGCCGGCAAAATCTGACGCCCCTCTGTCCCCCTCCCAAAGGGCGCTCTCCCTGCAGAGCTCCAGGGCAAAGCAGAGGAGGGGGAAAGAGGAAGAGAAAGGTGTTCCCTACCTGCCAGGCGCCTGACCCACTCACGGCGCACCGCAGCTGTGGAGCTTCCCCCTTCCCGCTTAAGCTGGGTCTCCAAAATCACCTTTGGGATTTCAGGGTCCTGCCTTCTCTGGGAGATCTCCCCAGGGACATTTTGCCAGGGCTCAGGCTGTGGGGCCAGGGGAGGCGAGGCAAGGGACTTTTTAAGACCCAGCCATCTGTGTCTCCAAGAGACTTCAAGTGGCTTTAAGGCTTCCACTCCAGTTGTGGGGGGGTGGGGGTGGGGGTCAGACTGGCACCGGATGACAGAGCCAGGGCTCAGCCATGACCCTCCCACCCCAACGTATTTCATCAATCTTATTTCTAGGAAGAAAGGATGGAAGCAGAGCCTGAAGAGTCTTTGCCATATCCCGCTCACCCCATGGGCACCCTTTCCTCAGCCTGCGGTGTGGGGCATCGCCCATCCCCATCACCAGCCTGCTGGAGGCCCAGCTCTCAGCAGGATGCATCCCAGGCAGGGGAGGAGGGCCAAGAAAGATAAAACGGCAGGCCAAGGCCGTACAGAGAGAGGGGAGTCAGGAGCCGCCATCTCCGGTCGGAGCCCTTTTCCGAATTCCTCTCTAGGCTCCTCGCCCCCTCCTGAGTTCCTCCCACCCCCCACCCAGCCCCAAGCCTATCCAGTCCTCTGGCTCCCTAGCCAGCCCCTAGCTTATCTGACCAAATACCTATTTTTAAACAGAGGATAAAATCCCAATGAACAGACCAGCCGCCGGCATGACCTGGGAGGGAGTTTCCAGGTAAAGTTGCCTGGAAAAGATCGATCAATACAAGAGTCCTAGAAACTTCCTGGTGGAAGGAGCGCAGAAACACTATGTTAGTCGCTCAGTCGTGTCCGACTCTTTGCGACCCCATAAACTGCAACCCGCCAGGAGCCTCTGGCCATGGCATTCTCCGGGCAAGAGTACTGGACTGGGTTGCCATTTCTTCTTCCAGGGGATCTTCCCTACCCAGAGATTGAACCCGGGTCTCCCGCATTGTGGACAGATTCTTTACCGTCTGAGCTACGAGGGATGTGGCCTCATTTTACAGATGGGAAAAAAGAGGCCCCACACAGCGGATTCCTTTGTTCTGTGTAAGCCACTTCCCTGGGGGAGGCTGGGCTGTCACCCAGTGTCCCGAGCCCCCGCCCAACGCTCAAGCCTCGAGCACCGGCCAAACCCCCACCCCAGCAGGAGAGGCCGAGAGCATCCCCGCCGCCCGCCCGGGCGCAGCCAGAGAGGTCGCCCCTCGGCTCAGCTCCGGCTCTGGGACCAAGTTTGTAAACAGCGGAGGCAGAGGGAGGGCGCGGCGGCGAACTTCCGAGAGGCGCGGAGAGGAGGGGCGAGGGCGAGAGGGCGGTGCGATGGACTCACCGGAGAAGGCGAAGAGTCCGGAGGCGCAGAAGAGCGCGCCGCAGAGCGCGGCCAGCAGACGGGGACACGGCATGGTGTGGGGACGAGGGCGCGGGACCCGGCGCTCGGCGGTTCAGACCCGGGAGATCGCACTCCTCCTGGACGGGAATAAATCAGGCAGCGCAGCACCTCCCACCGGGCCACGTGCTCCGCCCAGGCCCGCCAGAGGCGGGCTCGGGGCGGGGCTCCGCGGACTGGGGAGGGGCTGGGAGGACCCGGGGGTCCGCGGCCGCCCACTTCAGTCCGAGCCACGCCCTGCATCCCGCCGGGTGCGAGTGACCAGGCCTGGAGTTCTGAGTCGTCTGAGAAGAAAAGGGCTCAGGAGTTGTCTGTTCTTTGCTTTTTGGTTTTGCTTTGGTTTTTGGTTTTAACTTTTTAGGCTTAAGAAAAGATGCTAAACCTTATTCATTGTAAGAAAAACCCAGATTACAAGGACGGGTACCATTTTCATTTATCAGATTGGCAAGCATCAAATTAGTAGTGCACTGTGAGTGCGAGGCTCCCGGGAACAGGCTCAAGCAGGCATTGCTGGAGAGAATGTAAATTGGTTCAACTTCCCCAGAGAGCTGTGCGGTAATATCTATCAACATGACAAAGGCTGAGACCGGAAGACCTAGCAATTCCCCGTAAAGGAATTCATTCTGCGGAAACTCTCACGCATAAAATGACATGTACACAAAGATAGCATAGCATATCATAGCATCATCCTTTGAAATGGTAAGAGACTTTAAAAAAAAAAAAAAGAAGAATCAGCATATTTTTCTGTAAAGGGCCAGGTAGAAAATACTTAAGGATTTTCACGCTATAAAGTCTCTGAGGCAACTGTTCACCTCTGCCCTTCCTTGTAGCAGGAAAACATCTCAGTGTTCCAGGAAATGAAATTAACACGGTGATTGTTTAAGTGGGCAGAAACTAGAGTGTCAGAGTCGAAACAGACTTGCTTGTCATGGTTGAATTTTTCCTAAATAATTATTTTTTTATCATATGCAGGTATTGCCTATTTTCGGGGGTAAAAATATTTTAATAATAGTGTTCTCATCCGACCAGCCACAAAAAAAAAAAGAGAGCAGCCAGATATCTCCCCTACCAGCTATGTTGATACCTAGGTTCAGACTATTCAGCCTTAACTACTGGCAGGAGACCCTTCTTAAAACCACTCAGAAGGAAAAACACTACACTTACATGATCAACTCGGTAGCCACAGAAAAAGCATTTGGTAAAAATCCAGTACCCTTCATGATTTTGTTGTTGCTTAGTCAACCAAGTTGTGTTGGGCTCTTTTGCAACGTATGGAGTATAGCCCTCCAGGCTTCTCTGTCCATGGAGTGGGCTGTTGTTTCCATCTCCAGGGGGTCCTCCTGACTCAGGGATCAAACCTGATCTGGGATCAAATCTCCTGCATTGGCAGGGGGATTCTTTACCTCTGAGCCACTAGGGAAGCCCGGAAATGAACAATACAAAAATGGATTAATAATTAAGAAAACAATTGCATTCACAGTAGCATCAAAAAAGAATAAAATACTTACAAATAAATTCAACAGAAGAAGTAGAAGACTTGTATACTGAATACTAACAAACATTGAAAGAAATTAAAGAAGACTTAAATAAATGTAAACATTTTTGTTCATGAATTGGAAGACATATTGTTAAGATTTGTTAAGATGGCAGTACTCTCCAAACTGATTGACAAGTTGAACACAACTTCAATAAAAATTCCAACCGTCTGTTTTTTTTTTTACAGAAATTGACAAGCTGATCCTAGAATTCAGGTAGAAACGGAAGGGACCTAGAATGATGAAAACAATCTTAGTAGGGGAAGAACAAATTTGTAAGACTCATACTTCACAATTTTAAAACCTGCTCCAACACAACTGTAATCAAGACTGTGTGGGAACTTCTCTGGCGGTCCAGTGGCTAAGACTCCACACTCCCAACAGGGGAGGGGAGGTGGGGGCTTGTCAGGGAACTGGATCCCAAAAGCTTCAACTAAGAGCCCACATGCCTCAACTAATATCTGGAACTGCCAAATATATTTTTTTTAATTAAAAAAAACACCATGTGGTACTGGCATAAGGAAAGATACATAGATCAATGGAATAGAACTGAGAGTCCAGAAATAAAGTCATACATCTATGGTCAATTGATTTTCAACGAGTGCTAAGATAATTCAGTAGAAAAAGAATAGTCTGGGAATATCCCTGGTGGTCCCGTGGTTAGGACTCAGCATTTTCACTACCATGGGTCTGGGTTTGATCCCTGGTCAGGAGACTGGAATCCCACAAGACATGTGGTACAGCCCAAAAGAGTAGTCTTTTCACCAAATCGTGCTGGGACAACTGGATAGACACAAAAGAATAAAGTTGGACTCCCATATACTTTATACAAAAGACTAACTCGAAAGAGATCAAAGAACTAACTCTAAGAGTTAAAACTATAAAACTTCTAAAACGAAACAGGCATAAATCTTTATGATCTTGGATCAGGTAGTGGATTTTTAGACATGACACCTAAAACATAAGCAACTAAAGGAAAAAATAAATCCACTGGACTGCATCAACATTTAAAACTTTTATACTCCAAAAGGCACTTTCAAAAAGGTCTTTTCAACCCATGGAATCAGAAGAAATAAAATGCAAGTCATTTGTAAGGATCTAATATCAGCAATATATAAATAATTCAGAATTCAACAGAAGGACAAATCAGTTTTTAAATGGGAAAAGAATTTGAATGGATAGTTCTCCAAAGAAGATAAACAAATGGAAGATATACATGAAAAGATGCTTTAAGTCATCAGAAAAACAGAAATCAAAATCAAAATCACGTGAGGGACTTCCCTGGTGGTCCAGTGGCTAAGACTCCTCACTGTCAAAGCAGGGGGCCTGGGGTCGATCCCTGGTCAGGGAACTAGATCCCACCTGCTGCTTCAAAGATCCCATGTACTGCAGCTAAGACCCAGTGCAGCTAAATAAGTAAATAATAATTGAAAAAAAAACAAACCACATGAGATACCACTTCACATACCCATAACAAGGGCTATAATCAAAAAGTCAGATGATAATAAATGCTAGTGAGGATATAGGGAGATTGGAACCCTCACACATTACTGATGGGCTTGTAAGATGGTACAGCCACTGGGGAAAACAGTTTGGCAGTTTCCCAAAAAGTTTAACATAGAGTTACCATAGGACCCAGCAATTCTACTCCTAAGTACATACCCAAAAGAACTGAAGACAAGTTCATACAAAAACTTACACATGAATGTTCCTGACTCATTATCAACAGCCCACAATTGAAAACAATTCAAATGTCTATCAACTGATGAATATATAAACCGACTGGTATATCCACTCAATGAACCATTACTCAGCCATTAAAATGAATGAAGTACTGATCACTGCTGCAACATGGATGAAACTTGAAAACATTATACTAACTGAAAGACAGTTCATGGGTACAAGGTTTCTTTTAGGGGTGATGAAGATGTTCTGAAATTAGCAGTGATGGTTGTACAACTTTGAGAGTATACTAAAACCACTGTACATTTTTAAAGGGTGAATTTTATGTTCTGTGAACTATATCTCAATAAAAAGGAAATACAGCTCTTCAGAAATCCCACCTAAGGGAATCCCCTAGTGGTCCAGTGGTTAGGACTCAGTGCTTTCACTGTGAGGGCCTGAGTTTGATTCCTGGTCAGGGAACTAAAATCCCACAAGCTGTACGGCACAGCCAGAAAAGAGAAGAAAAATGAAATCCCACCTCAGATAGCAGATCGAGAGGGCTGTGAATACATCATCCTTGCTGGTTAATGCCATAAACCCCAGCAGAACCAAAGTTCCTGATGACCCTCACTGACTTTCTGCCACCCACCTGATACAAATGCAGAGCTACCAACTTAAGTTACATGTCGTCATGGAGTCATTCAACAACCCATTTACATACCCATTTATTGAGTACCAACTGTGGGCAGCATTCAAGCTGGAAATGGTGGCCGCACACTGCCATCAACTGGGAAGCTTTTAAAACATATAGATGACCAGGCCACATTTCCACATAATTACATTAGAATCCCTGGGGTGGAGCCTGGGAATCAGTATTCTTAAAGTTCCCCCCAGTTAAAGCTCAGGCACAGTGAGAATGGAACCACTGGCTCCACTCACTGAGGACAGAGACACAAGACCTGGGCCTTGGGATCTGGAGCTGACAGAGGGTTTAACAAGTGAGACAGGGCCAGAGAGGAAGGGGCTTTTCTTTTATGATCTGCCCCTTTTGGACTTCAGTGGGATAGTATCTCCTTGGCCTGAACACTTTCTTACCCAGTACTAGATAATTTCAGGTCTTAGTGCTACAAAGACAGCACAACAATATGACATGATTCGAATAAAGGAGGACAAGTTTAGCTCAGGTGACCCGGAAAGACCTGTTTAAAAAGGTGACTTTCACACTGATCCTGAATAAGAAGCCAGCCTTACAAGGATCTGAAGAAGCAAAAGCTCTGAGAAAGGAACAGAGCAGAGAGCTCAGAAATTAACCCCAATATATACACCAATTTGATCAACTGAATTTTGAAGGTGCCAGGGCAATACCTGGCAAAGGATAGGTTTTTCAACTAAGGGTACTGGAAGAATCAGATGACTGCATGCCAAAAAAAAAATAAAAACAAAATTAAACTTTAATCTTATATAAAACTTAACTCAAAAAGGATCATAGAAATAACTCTATACCAGAAAACTATAGAACTTCTAGAAGAAAGTCTGTGTAACTTCTCTTTGGGTGATGAGCTTGAAATACTGTATTAAAAGCTGGATCCATGAAAGAAAAATTGACAAACTGGACTTCATGAAAGAAAACTTTTTGCTCTGCAATAACATTGTTAAGAGAAATAAAGATAAACCACACACTAAGAAAACGTCTGCAAATCACATATCTTATAAAGAACATGTATCCAGAATAAAGAACTCTTAAAACTCAAAAATAAGAAAATATACAATCCAGTTTGTTAAATAGGCAGAAGACCTAAACTGACAAAGAAGGTAG